ATCAAGAAGGAGAAGAATCATTCAGTGAGCTTCTCTTTCTAGTCTGAAAAGATGTATTGGGGTTGTCCCAACATCTCGAGTCTTCGTGCCCCTCTGTACTGTCTTAACCTACGCCCTTTACAAACAAAGCATATTCGCTTAACCTGCGCCCCTTTCTTCGTCAAGCTAACACCACTCGAAGGACTCAAATTAACCGCTCACCATTCCCCCCTCCAAGCTCCTTTCCAAATTCCAACTATAACTTGTTAACTCGGACTTCCACTCGTTTCTTCGAAATAATCTCCTCCCCCTTCCACCACAAATGGGCCCCTGCTACGGGCTGCATTTAATCCTCACCGTTGGCTTGGTTGACCTACACCAATTAATCTATGGGTTAAGTCAATGGTGAAAGTTTTTTCTTGGTGAAATAATGCGATTAACCTAATAGAGGGGACGAATTTGTATGTGCACCAGTTATTTTATGCTCAATAAACTGCATAGAAAAAAAATTTTTGCCAGTGTATATAGAAAGAATATTTAAATTTAATAAAACATTAAACACATAACGAGCTATATTATTTATGAGTAAGGAACATATGATTTATTCATACTTCACATAATATGGTATAGATGAAATATATTTAATTTGTAGCAAATTAAAAAAATTCCATAACGACAAAGTCCTTAAATTAAAGGATCGTGAAAAAAAATTCCTTTTCCCCCTACATCAGGTAATATTTCATTTTAATCTATTTTCTTAGACTAATATCCATGGCTTCAAATCAAGAATAATTGTTCATTTGTAAAGCAAACTAAAAAAAAAAACCTCTGCAGTTTCTGTCTTCTTTCGTTTTTGTATTTTAAAATCAGACAACCAAACTTCAAATTGAGAAGAGATTAAATACGGTAAATTCAATCAAGTACTATAAAGAAGGTAGAGGTAAAATAGGAGATTCACGGAATGAATTGAATTGGGGTTTAACTATGATTTGTGCATCCCGCTTGTGCTTCAACTCCCAACTGTCTCCACAGGAATTGCTACGCCCTGCTTGTGATTCATAAACAAAGGTTTCGAAATTAAATTATTAGCACCAAAGTATTCAAAAAGATTATTAGTACCAAAGTTTGGAAATTTTATTTAAGTGTGTTTAGATGAAAACTAAATCATAATCTTAAAAATAATTTTATAACATATGAAGTAAGCATATGAGAAAAAAATCATCTTAATTTGCGTGAAAACACTTCTTAAAAAACTTTTTTAGTATACTAAACACCTCCTTAGTTCCCTTTCGTAACTCTCACTACCTCTCTACTTATTGTCCTGGTTTAAATTTTCATTTTATTTTTAAATATATATCACGTTGACAGGTTTTGAATTTCAAGATATCTTGTTACTCGTTTCTAATAATATTTCTGGAGAGCACAAAAAAAAAAAAAATAATTATTGCATGGATCGGACACGTAAATAAGACAGATAAGTAATAATTAGTGATAAATTGCATTTTCACAAATGCGTGATTATACTTCCCTCTGTTTTTATACACTCTTCGATCTGTAATATATGATCTACTTATTAAGTTAATTTTGATCCCAAATATAAAACATATTTTTTATATTTATCAATTTTTTTTCTAAATTACCCTTATAGATACTCTTTCAACCATAATCAAATAAGTGAGAAAATAAGGATATTAAGAAAAATGATTATGGTATCTTAGAAAAAACATGTCATATTTCTTATCATTAACCAACTTACCTAACTTTCTTAATCTAATCAATTAGTTAAATAGATCTTATAGTAATGATTGGAAGTATAAGCTTTACTTTTACGTCCCGTTTGATAGGAAGCATTGAAAATGAGGGATTGAGATTGAGATTGTAATTAAAAAAATTATTAAAATAGTATTTAGCAGGGTAATTACTTGTTGTATGGGACTAGTGAAACCCATAGAGGTGGCATTGGGGAATACCATTTCCCCTTATGGTATTCTCCAATCTCACATATATGGGTTTGACTAATCCCATCTAAAAAGCAATCTCTTATGCTAAGTATTTTTTTTGATAGATTTTTTCAATCTCAATCCCTAATTTTTAATGCTTCCTATCAAACACATCCTTAGAGAGAGTTTTGGTTCGAATATAAGCTTTAATTTTTTATTTGCATGAACATTTATTACTTTTTTTTTATTTTACCTTTAATGGACTATATTTAGTACTCATTAATATTACCCCATATATTTTTTTTATCATTTTTCATTATTGCCTCTGTCATTTATTCTATTAATAAATAAGGGTAAACTTTAAAAAAATTCTGACTACTTATTATTTTAACTAATTTTTAACTGTTAATTCGCTAAACATGATTCAGTTATTTGAAACTTACATATAGAACCAAAGGGAGTATCATGTTTTTAGTGTCAACTAAGGGTGTGTTTGTTGGATGAAACCAACCGTGGTTTGGAAAAGTGATTCTGGAGAATGATTCTGGAAGAATAGATTCTGTGAAGAATAGATTTTGTAAAAAGTGATTCTGAGAAGTGAGAGTGTTTGGATAGTTGTTATCAGAAGCACTTTTTATATATACAAATTACTAAAAAAAGACATAAGTTAATATGATAATTACAGAAAAAATAGATTTATGATATATTTTAATTTGAAGAAATAAAATTGTTAATAATCTGTTTTTACCAACAATTAATAACATAAGATAATATAATTAATAATAATTAATGTCTATATATATTTATAAAATATAAGATTAAAATATTTATAAAAAAATATGTTTAAAAAAAATAACAAGATACATATCATATAGGCCTTCACCCTCTCCCTTTTTTCTCCAAAAGCAAAAAATTTTTGCTTTTTCCAAAACATGGTTTTTGAGTCAAAACCATGGTTTTGACCCAAAACCATGGTTTTGGTTTTTGGAGAGGCTGTTTGGGTAGCATTTTCCCCAAACCATGGTTTGGGTCCCCAAACCATGGTTTGGGTGCTATCCAAACAGAGCCTAAATTGAACTGTAAGTACGGTTTTGTTTTTCAAGTCACATGTAGACAATTTTCTTAAATTTTGAAAAGATAATAAGTACTATAGTTTTTAATTAATTTATGACCTTGTTAATAGAGCTTATTAATACTACCTCCGATCCTACCCAGTTGACTAATTTGAGGAGATTAAGAAAGTAAGTTAAGTTGGTTATTTGTAACAAATAAGTGTTGTCATTCCTAAAATATCCTTGCTAATTAAGTGTGTTGGTTAGAACTATCATTATTAGAAGGACTATCTTGAAAAAAAATGCATAAATATGAGAGACAAAATGGATTGGGGTCTTATAATTAGGACCAAACTAAAAGTCAAACGGGATCTTATATTAAGGATCGGAGGTAGTATTATTGTAGAATATGCTTTTGCCTTTTAAGTCATGTGCAAACAATTCTTTTTAATTTTTAACCTGCATATTTTTCGTGTCATTAAATAAAAAGTAGTAAATTTGCAATGATATAAATATAACTATAACGAATATTACTAGGAGTTTATTTTATGTGGGGTAAGAACTAAGAAATAGTTTCATTTCTGACTACCAATGGATCGTATGATGATGATGGTGATGATTGATGAAGAATTGATTTAATTTAAATAAAAAAAATGGAGACTCCCAATAATTAAACGTGGAGGATACGTAAAGCTGTGCAAGAAATAAAAAGACCCGAAAATAGAAGGCAATGTAAGATGAAGCAAAATTCTGGCTAGGAAATTAATTTCATTTTACAGCTATGAGGTTGCAGTAAAATTTCAGATTTTTATGAAGGCATTTTGACATATATTAGCTATAGTGGCGTTAAATGAAATTTTCCCAAAAAATAGGAGGGGAATTGGAGCCATATGGACCTCACACTCTAAATAGAAGCATTTGTGCGGAGATCTAATATGCCAGCTCCATAAACATGGTTCTGCGCTTTATGTTCATATATGAATACGAATTTTATGAGTACCTAAGCTTAAGCTTCCTAATAATTACAGATATTTACTTCGCTGTGATGTGTATTACGGTCCATGGATAAACCCCCCAAGACTTGACCTTTTTAATTTTTCCATGGCCAGCGCCATCCTAATATATGTCGCAAATATTATATTTTTCCCTTCATTACAGCAACCACCCGACTATTCAACTTTGAGAATTTAAAGAATGTTAAACATTACAATAAGAAATAATTATTAAAAAATTTAAAAAAACTTCATGCATCTAATCGCACAAGTGATAAGTCGCTAATTAGCTTAAAAATAAATTCTCAAAAAATTGATTTTGAAATTGTATTCAATGAAATTTGTTGAAAAAGAGCAATTTATTTACATGTTAATTAATTACATAAAAACAAGATGAGAAAATACAATAATGAAAAAAATCTTCAATCCCAAAATACGCGGCAAAATTTTCTGGGGCTGCCAGCCTTTTGAAGGTCCCAAATTCAAAATCGGAAAAAAGAAAAGATCTGAAAATGAAACTAGCCAGACAAGCCATAATTGACGTGATGGCAAACCGTGAGAAAATCTTTCGGCATTTGATATTTTTCCTAGATTGCAAATTATGGCCGTTTCAAGTTGATACATTAATATCACAGTGGGGCTTTCTATTGAATCTTTGATGTTTCACACAGCTGTGTTAAAATACTAGCAAAACATTCTACAATTCTATAAGGCTATAAGCAATGTTGCCGAGAACCCCTACCTCATTTTGGGACAGAAAGTAAAATGATACATATTTGGGAAGTAAATAAAAATTAATTCCGAGGTTTTCTCATTTAAGTGAGATACATATACATGCTACAGCAAGAACCAGAGGGTTTCTTACTTTCTACACGTATCATATCAACTTTATTCTAAAATAAAAGTAGTAAATGACAGCACGCGTGAACTGTTATTACTCCAGATGTTTATTTGTTCTCCATTGTTCTTTTTTTTTTTTTTTTTTTTAGAGTGGGTTGGGGAAGGGAAAATATTGGGTCGTAGGATTGTGTTGGATGAAATGAAAGAGCATTGAATTATGGCAAACGAGAATAAGTGCAAGGATTGTAGGAGAGTTTATGTACACATTCAGGAATGAAGATAGCGCTCAATGAAACACTAAGCAGATGCAGCAGCCTGTTCCTCAGCAGTCTGCGACACTGAGAGGAGGGTGCAGATGAGGTTACGGTCACCGTATACATTGTCCACACGTCCTGATCAACCGAACCACATTCATTAGTATTTCATTAAATGAATCAATCAATCATTCAATTCCAACACACTCTCAGATTCTGCTTCTATGGAAACAAAGCCATTAGTTAATCTGAACTTCAGTGAATTCCATACAAACCAAATAAAGATGTGAAGAAGGAGACATAGCTGGTACCTGTGGTAGGCCAGAACTTGGCAACGCGGAGCCAGGGAGCTGGGTATGCTGCATATTCCCGAGAGTATGGTTTGGTCCATTCATCTCCCATTAGCATCGAAGAAGAATGAGGGGCTCCCTGTACAAAGATCAATACCATTTTAATTTAGATAAAAGGGATCGCCGATCGACTTGCATTCTAATGATCACATACATGGAGAACATTTAACAGGGAACTCTTTTTTTACCTTGAGTACATTATTATTAATATCAGCTTTTCCTTTCTCTATCTCTCTGATTTCTTCTCGAATGGAAATAAGAGCATCACAAAACCTGTCTAACTCAGCCTGCAATGGTATTTCTTACTTAGATATAAGAAAAGATTATACCTGCTATGAGAAGAGAACAAAAAAATTACCAAGAAAAGCATGATGATACCTTGCTTTCACTCTCAGTGGGTTCAATCATGAGAGTACCAGGCACGGGCCATGACATAGTCGGTCCATGAAACCCATAGTCCATAAGGCGCTTGGCCACATCTTCTGGCTCGATCCCAGCAGTATTCTATGACACGAATAGTTTCCAGTTAATCAGACTATAGCGGATACACTTAAAAAATAAATGAATACAACAAAGTGAACTACCTTAAAGCTTCTCAGGTCAATAATAAATTCGTGAGCAACTGTTCCATTGACTCCTCGGAAAAGAACAGGGTAATGATTCTGTAAATACCAAAGCATTATTAAAGGTTAGTAAACATAAACATTATAACAAGATGCTCACATGAGAGAGTTTCAGGATCAGGGGGGGAAAGCAGAAACCTCTAATCGTTTGGCCATGTAGTTAGCATTCAAAATGGCTATCTTGGATGCTTCAGTGAGTCCTTTCGAACCCATCATGGCTATGTAAGTATAAGAAATTGGCAATATGAGTGCTGAGCCCCAAGGTGCTGCAGAAATGGTACCAAGAGGCTGAGTCTTGTCAGGGACAGGAATGCCGCCCGTGGGTACCTTAACAAATAAGGATGGTTTACTGAGAACATAATGTGCCTTATCAAGAATAATGTCAAACATAGTGTCATCAATAACAAACAAAAATCTATATATTTTTACCACAGGATGTGAGGGTAAAAATGGAGCCAAGTGCTTTTTTACACCAATAGGACCCATGCCAGGACCACCTCCTCCATGAGGGATGCAGAATGTCTTGTGAAGATTGAGATGGCAAACATCTGCTCCAATCCAGCCAGGGCTTGTGAGTCCCACCTATAAACACGAACCCATAATCCAAATTGATCAAGGTACTACATTGCTTGAAATTAGGCACTAAATCTAAGCTGGCATCCAGAAATGCAGCAAAAAATAACCATTAACTTGTACAGTTGAAATATGCATCTAATGTTGACCAACACCACAGTTGAAAATTTTGGATCAACTCACACCATGAAAAATAGCCCAAAAAGTGCACGTGCATGTGAAGATTCACATAGAAAAACAAACCTGGGCATTCATGTTAGCACCATCCATATACACTTGACCTCCATTGTCATGAATTATCTTGCATATCTCATCAATACCTTCCTCGTAAACACCATGAGTTGAAGGATATGTAACCTATAATTTAAACCAAAATCAAATGAATATCAGTAATGCTCAAGTTTTCCCCTCTTTCTCCTCTCAAGCCAAATACAAGTTCAACAAGGAAGCAAGCTATACCATAAGTGCGGATAGGTTGTCCTTGTGAGTTTCAGCAGCTTTTTTCAACTCTTGAATATTGATATTTCCTTGGGCATCAGTTCCAACAGGGACAATTTTCATTCCACACATAGCAGCACTGGCTGGGTTTGTGCCATGTGCTGAGACAGGTATGATGCAAACATTACGGTGGTGGTCTCCCCTTGCCTAGAGTTTCCAATCACCAAAAGAAGCAAGAATCACAAACACAAATAACGTTGTTTGTGAAAGGAGCTAATAGAGGGAAAGAATCGCATCACTTGCAGATTCCAGGAAGAGAAAATTTTCCAAGTTTGAGATTATCTGCTACACCTCAGAATAACATATTCTTAACATGCAAAACCAATAGCAGGTGAACTAACTCTATCATTAAATTTTGAATCAAAAGAAACTAAGAATGTCCTGCAGAATTCTACCCACAAAAAGTAAGCAAACAAAATTATAATGGCCAGCCAAAGTTGTCATACTTTGTGATATGCACGAATAACCATAAGTCCAGCATATTCTCCGGCAGCACCAGCATTAGGTTGCAAAGAGAATGAGTCAAACCCAGTGATGGCACATAGGAGATCGCCCAAGTTAGTGAACATTTCCTGATAACAAATTTTCTCTTTTAGACAGACACAGAAAAAAGCAGATGCATACCTCAAAATAATGGAAATAAAAGCATTCATAATATTTCTTCTATCAAAATTATCATAATGATTTTATTTGAACCTTTATAAATTACCTGATAACCTTGAGCCTGTTCAGCTGGTGCAAAAGGGTGAATGTCAGTAAAACCAGGCCATGTCACGGGCATCATTTCAGCTGTGGCGTTCAGCTTCATTGTACAAGATCCGAGTGGAATCATACTGTGGCACAGTGAGAGATCCTTTGACTGTAGCCGATGAATATACCTTAGCAACTCATGCTCAGTGTGGTACCTATTCGGAGCAAATGAAATTCAGGTAAGCTTCAAAACAAAACCTTGTAGCTTCGGATCTGGTGGAAAGGGATGTACTGTACGTGTTAAAGATAGGATGCGTCATATAAGGACTCTCCCTAGTTAGTCCAGAAGGAATTGCAGTCTGAACCTCTGGAGCGAGAGAAGCGGCTGTGAAGGGGACCTGATAAAACAGAGGTTCAGATGGACTTGGAGGGTGAAAAAAAGCACAATCGGTAATTAAGAAAAGGAAAATATAATATTCTCACAGGCTTGCCACCAGCAAAAACTTTGAAAAGCTTATCAACATCCTCCAAAGTGGTTGTTTCATCAAAGGAAACAGTGATCTGAAAATCAGTCAGACTGCATAATCAAATATATGCAAAGAGAGCTAATTAGATGCAAAATAAGTAAAACACTTACAGAGTTTCCATCAACAACTCGCAAATTCATTTCACTTTTGTAAGCAGCATCAGCAATTGCATGGGCATTAGCAGTCTTAACCTTCACAGTGTCGAAGAAGGGAAGATCCTGAACATCACATGTTCCGAGTTTCTTTAATCCAAGAGCAAATACCCCAGCGAGACCATGAACTCGTTGGGCGATAGTTTTAAGTCCTTCAGGTCCATGATAAACAGCATACATAGCAGACATGTTTGCAAGCAGCGCCTAAAAACAATCAAATCAGATCTAACCAAATCAGCAAAATGATATGGGACCAGAACATGGCTCCAGAAGTATTCTACAACAAAGGTTAATCCGTTCTGCAGGAGATGTTGATTAGACATAAACTTTTTCATGTTATAAATACCCGCAAGTTCATTCTAAGAGAACAGTAAAGGGTAGTACCTGGGCAGTACATATATTGCTAGTCGCCTTGTCTCTACGAATATGCTGCTCTCTGGTTTGCATTGCCATACGCAAGGCTGGTTTTCCAGAAGCATCAACACTGACACCAATAATTCTTCCAGGCATCATCCTCTTGTACTCTTGGGATGTGGCGAGGAAAGCCGCATGAGGACCTCCATAACCCATCGGAACTCCAAACCTCTGAGCCGAGCCGACAACAATATCTGCTCCCAACTCACCGGGAGGCTTTAACACAGTCAAAGCAAGAAGATCCGTGGCCATTACAACCTTAACTCCGTGAGCATGAGCTTTCTTGATAAACTCTCCATAATCCAAAATCTCACCCTCGGTGCCCGGGTACTGAACAAGCACACCGCAAACATCGCCCGATTTATAATCAACATCCTTGATATCTGCTGTAACAACCTTGATATCAAAACCATCCGCTCTAGTCTTACAAATATCGATTGTCTGAGGATGACAGTTGGTGGCAATGATAAAAGTCTTTTTCTTCCCCTTCTGAATATTGTTACACATTGCCATTGCCTCGGCGGCGGCAGTTCCTTCATCCAGCAATGAAGCGTTGGACATAGGTAGACCAGTAAGATCAGTGATCATGGTCTGAAAATTAAGCAAGGATTCAAGACGTCCTTGGGATATCTCTGCCTGGTAAGGAGTATATTGGGTATACCAAGCTGGATTTTCCATTATATTCCTCAAAATCACAGGTGGAACATAGGTGTTATAGTACCCCATCCCAATGTATGACTTGAAAAGTTTGTTCTTAGCCGCCAGATACTGCATGTGCTCAATCATTTGGCTCTCCGTCAGCCCCTCATCAAACTTGTTAAACTTCATTTCATTCAACCGGATCGATTTAGGAACCGTGGCATCGATAAGCGAGTCAAGATGGTCGAATCCGCATGACTGAGCCATTTTGCTCTGTTCCTCAGGGGTTGCAGAGTTATGGCGCCGAGGAAAAGTGTCGCTGGGTTTGAGTGCCTCAACCGAAATCGATCGAGCTTGGGAGGCAACACCCCAAAACGCAACATTACGTGACAGAGCATTCCCGCCCTGCAGGTTCTCAGATTTGGATCCTCTGCCCCTAAAAGCAGAGGGAGAAAGAGATGATACATACCTAGAAGGTGTGTACAATACAGGTGTGGAAGAGTTCAGCGACGATTCATTCTGGCGATGCTGCTTCGCCTGTGAAACGAGGCGTCTCAGAATCGCCCTGTTCGCGATCCGCCGTGCCCGTTCCATGAGAGCGGTTTACAGAGAGATCTAAAAAAGGGAGGGGGTGAATATGAAATGAAGAACTGACGAAATGGAATCTGTTTTATTGGGAGTTGTTCTATGATTCCATTTCAACTGTGTAAGTGGAGAGTGTGGATTGGGGTAGGTGACTATAATATAGTCGCTTGGCCTTTCTGTATAAATAAGATATATAGATGCTTTAAGTGTTGAATAATGAATGATGAGTGAATAAATCACAATATGCGTGAATTTTCAGGACGAAATAGCCTCAAGATCTGGCGGAGATGGTAGGTGGTTGGTGTGTGCACGCCCACCTATGAAGGAAAACGACAGATTCAATGGCATCACTATCGTACTGACTTCCAAATCACCACAGGCTGGGAATTGGATGAATGGAAGGAGTTGAAGATGTAGAGATTGAGTTTCAATGGATCAAAATGCATTTCATGAGCTTTCAGAGTGAAGAGATTTTCTGCATTTTCATTTTTATCATTTCCAATCGTGCTTTTTCTGGGCAGTAGGGTAGGGGGATTTCTGATTTTTTGGGAGTATATTTTCTGAATAAGAGCCCCTTCGCTGGCCGATTCTATTTCACAGCAGGCTTATCCTGGACGCGCAGAAAGAAACAAAAAATTCCAAGGGTTAGGAATTGCGAATCAATGGGTGTCATTCAGATAAGATTCAAGGGGCAAAATGCGAATCAGGCTCTGCCGCCTGTGCCAATGGGCTCCATCCGGCGTCTGTGGAAGCACACCTATATTTGGTGGAGGAGATAATTTCGGCATATGTGTATTTATGACTAACCATGTAATTTTCATTGAATGCAAGTCTCAGATTGTTCTGTGAGGTAGACGTGTGTGTATTCCGCACCTCTTGCCTTCCTAAACATAAAAACAACAATGATATTTATAGATTATAATCACTTATAATTTTTTCTGCCTCAAGTTATAATTTTAATCTTTCATAAACAAAATACCATCTCATATATTTAATTAAATATAAGATTAATAATTTATAGTCAGATTTAAATTATAAATTGTAACAACGAAGGGCGTACATTTTTATATACAGTTATGTCCTTTGTTAGGCTGTCGTAGGTATCGCCTGAAGTTATGGGGACAGGGTCAAAGATTCTGTTTTACATTACATGAACCGGGAAGAGGTTAGAAATCTAATAGACTTTTGTAAGATGCCATCCTTTCCATGGAAACAGGAAAGGGGAAGGGATATACTAGCACAAAGGCGCCCCTCCCGGTTTAGCCTGTATTTAGGGCGTGTTTGAAAGATGAAAATATCATTCAAAAAAAAAAGATGAAAATAGAAATTAAATTAAAATCCACGCTTCTGCAGGTTTGGTGTGCTTAAATTAGAATTCTATATAAAGCCAATTTCGTTGGCTTTCATGGGGTAAGCATGGAATTTTCGGACTTAATGGAATTATAACCAAATCATCATCATGGCCCATTTAATAATTGTTGGGTTAAGCTACATCTAATATTCTGAAATATTTTCTTATGTGCATTCAGCAATTTAAAATATTTTTTAGGCACGTCTAATATTATGAAGTATTTTTTTGTCTTAGTAGTTGATGTACCAAAAAAATATTTTTTGGTGCTAAACATATCTAAAATTTTTTTTGAGATATTAAACGTATCAAAAAATACTTTAGATGCTAGACGTAACTAAAACAAATTTTACAGTATTTGATACACCACAAAATACTTTAAAATATTAAATGTATTTGAGACGAGATATTAAATGGATTGTAACTCATAACCGTTTAAAACCATTATTGCCTCCCATTTTTGGACCCCTCTCCCTCCTTCACCTTCCTTTTCTTTGATTACTTAAATCTTACTTCCACTTGTATTTTTATTATATTTATATCTCCATTTTCATTTTCTCCCAAAACCTTTCATAATGGTAAACACGCCCCTCCAGGATACAGGAATATTTGTTTAAATTTAAAAATAAGTAACTTATATGATGTTTTATACACACATATATACATCCTCATATGTTTTAAACCACTTTCTCTTAATATCTATATATAAGAATATTTTTCATAATTTTTAAATTAATTTTAAAAAATATTTTGAAAAATCATTAGATGGCTAACAAGGTTTTAATTTTACGGAGCATATAATTTGATGCCGCAGCCGCTTTAGGTCCACCTTATGTCATCATGAGTGTCGTTGAAAGCTCGTACCTTGAGAATCCGCGGGCTTTACTTTCCTCCGGATGCTGAAATCTCGTACTTTTTTTTTTACAAAAAAAAAAAACGTAGGAATCTCCTGCTCAACACTCAACAGGTTTTGTTTGGCTGGCATCAGTCTTCAATATCAACCATTGAAATTCTATCAAATGCGAAATTAGACATTATAATCTTGAGTAACATCATTCATTCTTTAAATTCCATATAATAGACATGCCCCATGTCTAATTGCCTGAAAAGGAAAAACATTATATTTTTAAGAATAAAATATAGTTATAACAAAATTTTATAACGAATGAATGATAAGCTTTAGTAATAAATAATGCTCTTCCGGTGCTTAATATAAGACATATTTAACTGATTTGACTAGATTAAAAAAGTTAGTTAAGCTAGTTAATCATAAAAAACGTGACATGTTTTTCCTAAAATATTATAATCATCTTTATTAATATCCGCTCTCCCTCTTCTACTTGATTATGGTTAAGGAAGTATCCATAGAGACAATTTAGAGAAAATTAATAAATATAATAAATAGGTCTTATATTTATGACCAAAACCAACTCAATAACTGGGTCTTATATTAAAGATTGAAGGAGTAATAAATTTCATGTTGCTTACTAATAGTATTTTTTAATAATTATGTTTTTTATTTATAAAAAAAAAAAAGGAATCAAACTGATGCAAGAAAGAAACGGAGACACAACCTGTCAACTACTAATGAAAACTAAAAGGAAAAATACCACCCTCTGCCTCTTTTTTTGGCCAGCAAAGGCCGTCACCTACCGCATCAAAGGCTTTCTTCTTTTCTTTTGGCGTACGATTACATGCACCAGGAATATTAAAACGACTTCACCTCTAGATTTTGGCTGGAAAACTTCTTTCCCTCTTTTGTTTTCCTAGGGGACTTTAATCAGTTCAACTGCGGGGGATCACCAGTTAGACGCTATGTTCTTTCTTAGTGAGTTGGGAAATTAGATAGACTCTGAGATGAAATAGGATAAAGAAAGATGTGATAGAAAGATGATTTTTGTGAATAAAAATAAAAAAAAAGTCACCATTGTTAATCGTTAAATCATAAAAAAGTGACACCAATATTTCTGGTCCAAAAAAAAAAGGACACCCATATATGTATATCTTAACCTGGGGAAGAAAAGGAAACACATCTCCAATTATCTGACCGACCGCTCGACTCAAACAGACTGGTGAGATATTTATGGGGCGTTTTGTGGACTGTTTCTCATGGGCTCAAATGGGCCGCTCAGAGCCTGTTTTCTGGGTGTTAAAACTTAGAAGACTATTGAAAGAATCCCGTAAATACCATCTAGTGCTCTAAAATATTTTTTCAGATATATTTAGTACTCTAAAGTATTATGTGATGTATCTAGTATTCTAAAATATTTTTTAAATATGTCCAGTATCTTAAAATATTTTCTTTCTTAGTACTAGATGCACCAAAAAATATTTTTGGGTACCGAACGCACAAAAAAAAAATATTTTAAAGTGTTAAATACACAAAAAAATACTTCACCGTATTGAACGTATCTGAAAAAATAATTGAGGGTGTTGAATACAATACAAAATACTTTAAGATACTGAATACACTCAAAAAATATTTCAGGGTGCTAGTGCACCTTAACCCAATACATTATCAAGATAGACAGACAGATACATACGCATAGGAGTGCATAAACAAGTATAATAAATAATAAAAATAAATATTCTCATGCAACATTTTACTTATTTATGTTACTTTTCTTATCCTTAATATAAGACTTAATTGAGGAGTTGATCTTGGTCTTATATGCAAAACTTATTTTATGTATTTATTAATTTTTTTCAAATTAACTCTATTAATATTTCTTAACAATAATCAACTAGAAGAGGAAGGGAGGAAATTAAGAAAGATATTTAAGATTTTTTTAGAAAAAATATATCATTGGATGTCCTTGAAGGGACAAAAAAATCATATTAACTAATTTAACTAATATTTTTAATATACTCAAATTAATTTATTAGGTCTTACATTAAAAATCAGAAGGGTATAAAAAGGGATAAAAATATAACTAAGTATTCAACCTAATATTATGTTAATTTATATACGAAGGACATGATATTTTAAGTATCTAAAAATGTTCTAGAAATTATAACATATTTGTAAAAGATATTTCGAAAATTTAATCAAGCGTTACAAAATTATACCCGTTATATGCTTTTAAAAAAAATTATGTGTGCGTGGGTGTCATGTTATTATTAAAATTTTGGATACTTGTTGTATTTTAGTTAAAAAAATTTTATAACAATATAGATCATTTTCTCTAAAAAATAGCATGCATAGAGTTACTTATATCACACCAATAAGTGGTTGGTAGTAACACAAATTTGAATCTCAAAAAACATTTATTATGAGAGTTTTAACCGCTTTCAGTATGATAAATATTAGTTTTAAATCTAAAATGATTTGGGTAAACTCCGAGTTTACGCGAGGATAAAAAAGCTATTCATGCCTTGGGAACAAAAGGAGTAATTTTTCACGCATTCATAAGCTGTTTATTATTTATTTGTTGGGTCGACAATTACATGACATTAAAGTTCTAAAGCTTGCTAACGCTACAAAACTGGCAACAAAATGAGCGACAATGGCTAGCTATGGATGAAGGTAGTAAATTATAAAATAGATAAAATGGAGTGAGCTAATCTATCTAAAATCTAAACAGGAATAGAGGCATAAGATAAATCCATAAGAAGCAGCGCCGCTTGAGCTACTTCATCCGCAGGAAACACTTGCTCGACCACCGACACGTTGTTCCTCAAACTATATGCCAAATCCGTCAAACCAATATTCTTCCTTTCTCCCTCATCAGGCATTCCTGCGCTGCCTGCAGCAGTGGCCTTGCACTTATTCTTTAATGCTGCAAAATTGTTTGTGCGAGCCCTCTTCTCCTTGCTATTCAATCTGCAACTAACTACACCATTTCCAGCTTCCGCCATTAATGCCCTTCTCGCCTTCCTCTGCCTAATCCCACACGCATTGCAGAGTGACTGTAAATGCAAAATGTGTGTCCGTTAATGAATATTGTGAGGTTCTGATAATAGATTAAATCTAAGGGATAGTGTTATCAGAAGAATTAATCTTATTACCTTTGGACCTTTTGGGCCCCCCCTCCAAAGTGGGGTACTGGTTGTGTTACAGTCGGCGCAAACCCTAGTAGTGGTGGTGTTATTTCTGTGGTTAGGAGGGCTTTTATGGGTTTGGGTTTTCTGATGCTCTCGAGTTTGGGTATTTGGAGTGATATTCGATTCTTTACGAGGGACAGGATGACTAGTATTGGGGATCATCATCTTTCGCATCAACCTTATCTTAGAAGGCATCCATTCTGCAGACTCGTACCCGCTTTTGCTTTCTTCCTCCTCATCCTCCTCTTTATAGCCGCCACACACGTTTCTTCGGTCATCCTTGACTTGTTGAGGCTGGCGTGAATTAAAGGGTGAATTCCAAACTTGGTGACTGCTTGATCCTCCGTGCAGCATCAGTCCAGCTTCCTGCACGCACACATACATAATCAAGTTGTATTATCTACAAATTATATGGAGGGATATGATTTAGACTACAAGTGACCAAGATCTTACAGTATTATGAATGATGATCATTATTTTTTCAAACCAAACTGACCCAAGAAAGCAAAACACGAATATATGCGCAAGAAATTAGAGCTTTATGCGTACATACCCATCACAGAAATCAGTCCTGAATGCATAAGAAAACAGCATACATTTTATCAGCTTTTCATTCCCTACTAATCAAGCCATATATATATATATATATGCGTCTGTATACACGTATGCGCATCAATGGTTCATCACCGAGCCGACTATGAAAATTCGTTCACGTTTCAAAAATAAGAAAGTGAAGATCAATAAATAGCTACACGACTACTGATAATGGAAATTTAGACCAATAAGATAAAGCATATATATGAACCTGGAGAGAGTGAAAATGATATAATTATTGATTGCAAAGGGAGAAGTTGACGGTGAGTTTTCAAATAGAGTATGAAATAAGATTGAATCTTGCCTCTTGATCATGTCTTAACTCACTGCGGGTTTCTCTAGTCTGTGTTTGATCAAGTAAGCGGAAGAAGCTAGGACATGATGAGAGAGAATTAGCTGAATCCCGATTAAGAGGAGAAACGAAGAGTTGGTTTTGATCTTCTATTTGATCCCTGAGAAGGAAAGGGCTTGATGGGTTCATAGCAGCAGGAGTCATCGATCGATCCAACAAAGAGAGAGAGGGGATGTTACCGCCTGCAAAAATGGACAGAACAAGGGATGGAATATTAAGGTATAGGGCAAGAAGAAGATGCCTAAATGGGGATGACTACACAGTAATAGGGTTATGAGAAGGGGATAAATTGCAGAAAGTGAGAGAAGAGGACTGAGAGGCATTCACGTGATATGATATATATAACAAAACAAAACATATTAATATATACATGCAAAGAGACAAGATAAAAGCAACTGTAGAATGCTATTCGACCTAGCTCCAGTATATGACAAAACCCTATCTGCAGTTTCGGTCCTCATATACGTACCCAATTGATCAGTCTCATTTACTCGGAACGGTCATTTGGCTAGAATATGATATCTCTTTTTATATTTTTATCAACTTGACCTACATTCTACTCGTTAGGGAATTAAACATCATAAGACCGTGTGGCCCAAAAACCAAAATCATCATCAAACACCACCACCGCCACCACATTTGATTTATGTTATGAAGATTCAACAAAGTTTTTCATTGTAAATCAGAAATCTGTGATACAACCCTTCTCCTTTATATCTGGTTTTGACGCCATCCATGAAGAAACAGAGGCAGAAGAGAAGTTCCTAAACAAAATCCTGAAAGTAAAATTTCATACACACAGAGTCACTATGAAGTTTTCTTAAAATTAGCGGTTAAGGGAAACATATATATTATAATGGGAGAACGTTATTGGCAGCAAGAAACTTCAACTTGTTAATTTGACTTCCTAGGTGATTTTAGCGATAGTAATATCTCTTTAATTTATACATGCCATTCATACATATACCCCCATTTGTTAAACTTAGTTTTCAATGAGCTGTACGGTAGAATTTATGGGGAATAAATGTTTTAGGAATGATGAGGATAGTGCCGCAGATCTGAAGATATAGGAGCAGATACGCATGATGTAGCGCCTTACTTCCTTAGTGTAGCCAAAAAACATCACCGTTGGCACTGCAGAGACAGTTTTTGTGAGATAGACAGCGTCTCCCAGCAGTCCCCACATACACCACACCTCTTGCAATATCAATCATTTACGCCTTTTGAATTTTCTATCCCTCTTGTTTTATTTACCTCCTGTCAGAATTATTTTCACTCATTTTCTACCTCCCTTGTAGATATTTTAGTTCTGTGTGTATTTGGTTTTTCCTCTCGGAAGCAAACAGATAAACTGTGTGCCCCGCCCCATTCATATGCATGTGGCCATGGCATTTAAAGGCTCCCCCCCCCCCTTTTTGACCCGTAAAAAGGCTTTTCACTTTGGATTTTAGGTAAAATAATGGATCTCAACGAGCAGTAACGAGCTAACATGAGGAATAATGATTATATGCTTTCCCAATATAGCAGACTTTGGATTGATATACCTGACAGACATTGAATCCAACCCTTCATCTGAGGAAAGTATATGTATACATACATGAAGAAGCCCAGAATGATATATATTCATTTATATAAAATTCACATATGTATGTTGCAGCCTTGCAGGCGAGTGATGTAATAAAAGTATTAAACATGTTGATAACGGATTTGAGGAAGACAGATATGATCCACACAAAAATTCTAAACGAAATCACAACTTAAAGGTGTGTGTTATATAGCTTTTGGCAGCCATCGGAGTCGCTGAAAGGCTTGCTGATAATGGTGGTTGCTTCAAGAAGCTAGTAATTAAACAATATGTGCGTGCGTGTAATTAATCGTAATTTGAGTTTTTTTGTTGTTTGTTTTTTGTGATGAAGAGGGACACTACGTATGAGACTGCTATGGCCGCACAAGATCCTTATCTCAGATCGACGTGGATCATACATAACGATGGCGATGGTGGCTTTGTCTCAACATATATGAGTTAATTTTGTAAGCCTGAGATAGATGGAGAAACATCCATCTTAGTTGCTATATATATAAATATATATAAAACTGCGCGTCCTTAATGATACTAATATTTTGGAGAACAGGATTTTTCTTGCAACGGAAAATTATATGCTGCCGTTTTTATTAAATTTAAATGGCCATCAATCTAATAAACTTAATTTAATATCATAGACGAGAGGATGATGATTCTTGTAGAAGACACGTGTTTACATTTTTTTTTGGTTGGATATGGATCGATTTAATTCTAAATTAAAGTCATTCAAATTAAGTCTAAATAATCCAAATAAGAGTGCATGGAATTCAATAGGTTTAAAAATGATATACCATGAGCAATACGAAATTGGTTCGGAAGTTAAGATTGTGATGAGTTATAATTAAAGGAAAGGCGATGGGCCAGGTCTGGCAGGATTTTATACCATAAATAATACGAGCATTTATTTTTTTATATGAATAATACGAGTATTTAGATATAACAATTTTTTTTGGTCAAAGCATAGGTATCCTCCCATTGAAAGCAATCCTATTCGAGATACTGTCGGACACTACATGTGGACATCTCTCTCAATGGGGATTCAAACCTTGATTCGTCACGTTGTGAGAGACTAATCCCTTTTGCTAGACCCAACCCTGTAGATATAACAAATTAGTAATGGGTAAGCGCAAACGAGTGTATGGGTCATGAGGTCGGCAAGAAAGCGGACTTAGGTAATCTGTAGTTTAGTCAAATTGGGCCAATGGGCTGGAAGCCCAAATCTATCCACCGCTCCTTTCCAAAGAAAATCCTATCTGTTCATCTGTTATTGTCCATTACGATGACAAAGGCGATGAGGGGGAAACTACCACCAGGCTGGTAACCCACTGTGATGTTGTGTTTGAAAGAAAATAACAACAATGATTATGTTTTGCAGTTAACTTATAAAACCTTGACCGAGGCTTGGCAGTTAACATGCGGTCTTGCATAATTAAACTAAATCTTTAACCCCCGAACAAAAAATCTTTAATTTGGGTATGAGCTAAATATCAGAAAGTTCACCCATAACTGTTGGATCATCATTGTGAATAATACTAGGCTTGAATACAGTCATTTGTATTTTTATTGGATAATTCTTCAAAAAAAATTGTGCCATGATGAATCATAAAAATCATATAACTAAGATATTCTTATTAAAAAATTTGATAAAAGATAACATAGCAAATTACACAGCACGAATTTGTTTCCCGCAAATGAGAGATTAATGAAAAGACAGCTCCCAATGAATAGTACCAGTAGCATAACACTTTCGCATATCCATCAACCGCGCCCCAGAATTGCAGCAACAATTAATAATAAAGACACAAACGTTGGGACAGAAGATACATAAATCAAAGGTGGCGTATAAAAACAGGCCTGGCCGTAATAAATTTAATGGCTGGTGTATGGTTTTGGGAAGGGGGTCCATAATAAATGAGGCACAATTGAATTAAAAAACTGAATCCCAATTCTGAGACCCAGGCAAGGAGCCAGAGCCGAAGCTAGCTAGTGGATAAAGGGCGGGCCACATAGTAGTGTGGACCAAATCTCTGATTCTCTTCTTCCTACTTTCAAAAGAGCAGATGGTGACCACAACCATAGCTGTTAGCTCAGGCTCTATCCTCATTTAAAATCTCGTACTTAGCGTACAACTGGTTAGTTGACATGTCATCTTCTAGTGTTAAGTCCAATCCGCCAATCTGTCCTGCTTCGTATACTTTCTCGGAGTGACATTACCATCATGTCTCAACAGGTGTCTTCAATATGGGACGTGGAAGAAGCCATATATGTCCACTGTTGCTATAAAGTTAATTAATCATATTCTATAACTGGGCGACGCTGAGACGGGTTCATTGAATTTGTGAAATTAATGATTTTGGTGGGATCGTGAGATGATGTGTGATCCATCATCCATTGGTATTAATGGGTCTCACCTACAAAGTATGAGTGCTTAATTAATTGCTGGTGGCGTGGGAAAGTGCACATTAAATACAATATGAATCCTCCCATTGAAATGTTGAGACTTTCGTCAAGAAAGCGAGCTAAATGAGGTTGGCTTGGAATGAAGGGAATTAGGGAAACCAAAAAGAAACACACCAGAAAGAAGCAGGAGTACTGTGATTTACAAACTTCAAAACACAGCTGATATTATATATTTATATCATTGGCAAACCCAAAACAGTAGACAGCAGTTCGTCCATGTGATACGAAAACCCACACAAGCATGTCCTACAATATTAACCAACGCTGGACTATACAAGATTACTGTGCATTTCCCTTTGGATGATGAGAAGGATCGGATCAGAACTGTAAAAAGTGAGGTTCCTTCAAAACCACAGTTTGCTCTCCACGGGCTGACCCTGTTCCCAGCTAAGCACTCTACCCAGCCATTCATCGTCAAGCTCGTCAGTATCCTCACCTTCTGCCTCCATTTTCAACTTTTCCGAGCCGACCAACTGGATCCCTGCCATCACCGTCGAGTTTGAATCCGAGACAGAGGCTCCGCAGCTTCCGTTGTTGCCTGCGTCCGCTACATGCGGCGGTGACGATGGCTTTTCAGGCGGGGTGACAATGGAGCCGGCGAGTTCGTTGTAAAACTGCTGCATCACCTCCTCTATGGTTTCTTCTTCGAAGCAAAACTGGGCCGTTTCGCTGTCGGATTCGGTCAGCAGCTCTTGAATCTTGTTGACCAGAGCTTCTTCTTCTGTTGGTTGGGGACTGTTTTCCATGAGGCGATGGAAGCGAAAGAACCTGGTGAGAGAGACAGGCGAGGGCAAAGATATAGGTGTATGCAGCAAGGTACTATGGGTGCGTATGGCTTAAATAGGCTGTGAAAATTCGAAAACGAGAGGGGCCAACCAAGATGGCATTGGCACAAGACGTGGCAGTGTTTAATTTGATGCATTCAAAAATTAAATTAACTTATTCATTTGGGAGTTTTAAATAGCCTCCAGTAACTCGGTGGATCAAGTCCAACCCCCTTCGCCGTAGGTTTAACTAGATTGAATTGCCCTTCAAACCAGACTTTGTAGCCTTTTTTCATACTAGACTTCCGTCTGGTTTCTGTGCAACCCCACAACAAATCCTCTGTTTAGGACATGTGGTGCAATGGAAAGCAGTTAGGCTTGGAGTTCCTAGCAGCTGATCATGTTTTTTGTTTTATTCGCACAAGTATTTTTTTATTAAAAGTAGGTGTGTTCGAATTATTGTTAGAGGCTAAATATAAGTATATTTTTTAAGATTCGACGGTTGAGGTTGAAGTTCGAGTAAAAAAAAGAAGCGGGTTCAAGATATTGGGCCATCTACCTAGGGCAACTTTTTGGACCACTGTATTTTGTAATGTCACCGTATGAAACGGCCTTAACATTCAACGAGTAACGAAAGTGAACGGTTTGGAGCATCCAATTCAACCCTTTGTCTCAATTCATGCATTTGATCACGGTCCCCTCCCTCCGCTGTCCTCCGCTGCCGACATTCCGTAATTTTATCATTTTTACTGCCACAACGTGAATGGTAAAACTGTCAAAAAGAGCATCCCCCTTCTTCCCTTCCCCCCACCCCCAAAAAAAAGAAAGCCAGCCTGCATGAAATCTGTACCCCAAGCAAAAGGTAACAGATTATATGCCACATACCAAACCTAAATTTGACTTTTGAGTCATAACCTCAGCCAATATATTTGACATTCCATATAAACACTAAATTAAGTTCAAAAGAAATAAGGTGAGCAGAGGCTGAAGTGGGCTAATGGCGGACCCGGCATGTAAATTAGCTTAGTGCTTGTTTGGAGCTTCATTCAAAACAGACTTTTAAGCAAGTTCATTTAAATTAAAACAAAACTCTCTTCACATATTTATCTCGTATTTCGTAAATTATATTTGAAAAGCTACTTATAAGTCAATCCAAACAAGCACTTAATCAGACAGTTATCTTCGTGTTGGACTGAGTTTTTCTTTTCATCAGTTAATTATAAAGGGAAAATTTTTTGTTTGAACGGGAATTTGGCAGCCTTTGCAATTAGTTAAAAAAATGATTTTATATAAGTTGAGATAAAATTCTTCTTACATACTTATTTTACATACCATAAAATCATTTATGAGATTCCATTTGGTACAAAACATTAAAAATCAGGAATAAGATTGGGATTGAAAAAAAGTCTATTAAAAGAATGTTTGATATGAAAAATTGTTTGTTATATGGGATCGGACAAATCTATATATATAGAATTAGAAAATGTCATGGCGGGAAATTAGTATTCCCTAATCCCATTTTCATGAGTTTGTCTAATTTTATGTAACAAGTAATTATTCATATTAAATGATTTGTTAATAGTTTCTGTCAATGACAATCATAATTTTTATCTTTTATTTTTAATACTCCGTGTCATATCTAATGGGACTTTAAAAAGCTGACTCAAACACTCGTGTGGCATGGGCTGGATCAGATTTATAACCTAATAGTACCGACAAGAGTGATAATTGTGCCATCTGGTTAGAGGGCCATTAGCTCTGATTGGGTTCTGTAAGAATGACCAGGACAGAAAAACTTCCTGCACCTGTTAAAAAACTGGTAAGTACTATGATCAATAACAATCTTTATGAACAAATTTATTGTTGCCGGACTTTGTGCCATGATTCCCTTTTTTAACTTGTATATTAAGAAAATGACTTACCATGTAAAATAATGACAGGTTTAATAATTGGCGTAAAAGATCACAACTTTTTATACTAATTTCAGGATCGATGTAAAAAATTAGTTTAGCCTTGAGGAATATGAAAAGGAATTTTCAACCCATGTTAACATTCTTTTCTTCAAGATTTATAACTCACTAAACAATAAAAATAGAAGATGAAGAAGAGAAAAAACAGGAATATTGAAAAGCAAAGGTTAAATCCACAGATCTAAATAACATTAAAATATCACAAAAGAGGTTCGACATTCAAGAATGAGAATACACCGACAAATTCACTGAAAAGAGCTAAAAATCAAAGCACACCAGCAAGATACTTCCCAAAAAAAAAAAAAAACACCCACGCACAAACAGACGCGCAACATATCATATCACAAACTCTACGTTCGTTCATGTAATTCTGGTCTCTGTTAAACTCACAAAGGGTTTATTTATAGTCATGAGGTAACTAAATTAAAACAGTGTTTTGACATGATTCAAACTATCCTGATTCCACATTCTACCAACATTAATTTTCACTTCATCATCTAGTTTCTTGAAAAGGCGAGAAGAAAGATTTACGACAAGAGCAAAACCAGCATGACAAAGAGGCAACGGAAGCCAGGAAAGAGAGAAGGAAATACTCGCGTGTATTTTTGAATCACAAAGAAGCCTGATTTTAGTTAGGGCCAGAAACATGTTGGTCGATGCCCAAGGATACAAAGAAGAAGCATCATAATGCGATCTATTGTGAAGTAGTCGGATTTATTTATGGCCCGTCGTGAGTAGCAAGTGAATGCCGTATATACTTATAAAAGAAGCCATGCAATGTGGCTTGCCCGAAGGCCTTGTTTCTGCCTCGTGGAGGAGAAAAGGAAGTTTGAATGGATGAAAAATCAGAATGTTAGGGCGTCCCTATAGTTCTAGTCATGGCTAATGATGCGCAGAAATCCCTGAGTATGCAGAAGATACTAATTTCCAATGTGATTTCCTGATTGCACAGAAAACGAATAAAACATCGGCTACCATTTCATTCTTTTGGTCGATTATCATCGCTCGTTTCTTGGATGCATCCTATGCCAAGTCATTCAATGAGTTCGCTCCTTAACGCTCGTGCGGGCTGGAAATCACAGCACACTCCAGAATGAGGGCAGATTAGTCAGGGTGACATTTCTTTTTCATTCCTGGCATTGTGCTTTTCCCATTTCCCATTATCAGTCTCCACAGGCGCCCCAACTCTGCTCATTTTCTGACAACTAATGTTCATTATCAGTGGCACCGCATTACTTCATGAAATTATCACCTTTTTGTTTACCCTGAATCAACGAGTTTCGGGTACTATATATATGATCCTAAAAATCATCTGCACAATTTTTATATTACATACAGATAAATTAATTTGGCGACCATTCTTCCATGCACAATTTGTATGCGTGATGTTCATTTAGCAGCAAGTATTATTTAATTTGCAAGTTTTATTCAAATAAAATTAATTAATTGATAATAATATCTGTATCTAAACATTAATAATATTAGCGACAGATAACATAGTTAGTGGTCCAGGCTTAGTTTCCTTGTGCTTGGAGTGAGGAGGGCAAGAAATGGACGATGCATGGAGACGATTCTTCAGAACATCCCCCCAACATAATCAAATCCTCAATTCATTTCATTAAAACATCAATTAAAGTTACATATCTTGGGCCCAATAGTTTGGACCATTCATGGACCATTATCTCAGTCCTCGGTGTTCTATCGCACACAAGAGGGAGGAGGGCAGGACATCAATGACGGATGACTCTTTGTGCTTGTGTTTGTTCCCGCGTTCCTTGCTTCGTATGTGTAGTAGATGAAGCATGTGTCCCGGCAATCTTCACGTTATTTATCTCCCCCTCTCTTTGTTACCGAGCAGAAAAATGCCCCTGAAATTATGTACTCTGGAATCTTACAAATAAAAGGGATCAGGCCCAGATCGCAAGCGAAGCCATCAATCCAGCTCCGAGAAAAAGCATACAATATGAAGCTATCTGCAGCCTGAAGTTACAGCTCATTCTCTTGCTGAGAAAATCGGCAGCTATCAGGTCCACCAGAGCCATATACACTAAAATCCCAGCTGACAGAGCATCCAAAACGCCTTCCGTTATGAGTGCTCCTGAACTGTATGGGTTGTAGCCTGAAGAAATCGCCGTGCCTATTCCGATACCCAAGGGCGTCGTTAGGGCGAAGAAGCAGGCCATTATGGTTACAGATGAGGTCTTGAACTGAGCTTGGGAGATGCAACCTCCAAGAGCAAATCCTTCAAAGAATTGATGAAATGATAGGGCTGCTATCAGCGGCCTTATGGTACAAGGGCTCTGCGACACTCCCAGAGACAGCCCGATTATAACAGAATGTGATACAATCCCAAGTTCCAACACCTGCATATCCAAGTTGGAAAACACATGACAACTTGTAATATTGGTTCCCACCTACCCTTTTTCTTTCTTATTATATTTTTAAACAACTATTCATTACTGTTCCAAATGGCAAATGCTCCTTTAAATACATAGCACACAAGATATTGTTAATTATTACCCATGTATCGATTATTCAGTATCGAGAAATATTCCTCGGACAGAAACAAGACGCTGAGAATAGTTAAACAACCTATTCATTACTGTTCCTCGATATTGTTAACTACGAGTACATTGTTTGGCCGACCAATTGTCGACTAAATGGGAATCAATTAAAGTTTAGTTTCTACTCAGGTTGATTTGATGAACGTTTAGAGAATCGAAGGACCAGGATTGTGATGATGTTTCAAGGGGCCCAACTGGCCAATGCACGAACGGCCTTCTTCACAAAGAAAAATGGCAGAGCAAAATGTCGAGACAGCTGCTATACATAGAAGCAGTCCGAAAATTGAGATTTGGAAGATCATGATCAACACTGAACTAAGAATCACAAAGTGAGAAGCAAAACAGAGGTAGAGCAGTATATGACCTGCGAAACGACGACGTGGCGGGCACCGTTTTCATCCTCATCGTCTCCGAATCCATGGGAGTGGCTATGGCCGTGTCCGGTAACATGCGACTGTTCCTTAAAACCACCATGACAAGCGTCGTGGCCTTGTGGGTGGTTGTGCCTATGGTGCGCGGCGTGTGCATGCATCCCCACTATGTGCATTCCACCGCCATCTTCTTCCCCAAATACTTTCCCACTCAAGTCCTTAACCTCAATAACGGGCACAATTCCCGATTCCACACCCGACTCTGACGTCCCGACCCGTCCTTGGATTTCAGTGGCCCGCGCCAACCCCTGTTTCCGTTCGTAATATTGGGTTCCCACGAAGTCAACCAAGAGTGTTAAGAGGGCCGAGATCATGGCGAAGAAACCGGTGAAGGGGAACTTCGACCATGACTTGGGCAAACAGGGATCTGTCAGGGCCTCCGACGAACCCGATAACATGTGGACAAAGCCGGTGGCCAGAATCACTCCCGCCGCGAATGCCTTCGCGGCAACGAAGAGGCTGCCGTCTGTGCGGAGATTACACCGATATTTCCCGAAAAGTGGTAAGGCAACGCCCGTCATCCCCGCGATGAGTATGGATGCGATCGCCACAAACTTGAGGACGAATGCGGCGGAGTCGTCTCGGCAAAGCTCGAAGTCGGTCCCTCCGCAGCTTGAGTTCGTCATGGTTTCACGTAAATACTGGAACAGCGATCCTTTTTTTGGCAGAAAAACGAGTGCAGAAATTTAGAATCCCTTTCAAAACAATTGACCTACGCCAATCATGCAAATCAGGATTTTAAAACTCCCCTTAACATCTCTGACTCAATTTAAACTCTATGAAGGGGAAGAAAAATAATAAATCAAATACTAAGATTTCGCATTGCACATCCGGCGTTCATGTGAGAATTTCAGTTCCTTCTGGGAAATTAAGTTACTTCAAATTGCATCCAGTTCTTCGCTCATTGATCGCAGCAGAAACACGGACCATAAAACAAGAATTTTATTCATCTTGGCTCTATATATCCAGGAACAGGGGGTGGGGGAAGAAATTAAAAAACAGAGAGAGTGAGAAAGAGAGAGAGAGGAAATCAAGCGTTACCTGACGAGCGAGAGTTTCCTAAAGGACGCTCAAGCTGGAGCATCGACCAGAGATCCTGAGAAGAGAACAAAAGGAGTATGAGCAGCAATAAGCAATAATGTAAACATCCAAACCGGCAAAGGGAAAAAGAAAGAGAAGGGATCGGGGTAAAGAAAAACCAACCTCAATTACGGACATGGGAGAAAAAATGGTTGGAATAAAGGAGGTTTTAAAAGGCGAGGAAGAAGAGAGAGGAAGCGGTTGAGAAGGATGGAGAAGAATCTGACATTTATAAGCACGAGGAAGAAGGGCTACGATAAGAGACGTGATAGATAGGAGGGAGGCGACCGAAAACGGAATTATGGCGGGTAAGAACGCAGACGGTGGAATGAAGTGGTGGGAGAGAGTTGAGGTGAGGGAGGAGAAGAGAAGGCAGAGAGAGTGGGAAAGATGTAGAGAGAGAATGTCGTCATTTTGAAGAAAGAAAGGGTGGGAAGAAGCGGGTAGATGCTCTGCTCACTGACCCTTTGGATTCGATTTAGCGCGACAATGTCGACATTGTTTCATTATTATTATGAAATCCCCACTCTCCAGCCCCTGGCGGTTCCCTTATTTTATTTCTACCTTATTAAATTAATTAACATCTTTCTTTTATTTCTCTCTCTCTCTCAGGCCTTTTCCCATACAAGTTAAGATCGTGCTCACATCGTTGGCCAAAAAAAAAAAAAGGAATCGTGCTCACCTCATTCCAGATTCTCTCTGTTGGGCCCGAAGACAAGGCGGTTCTGTGGGCCTTATCCGCCCTACATATAATTGGTTTTAATTTTTACGTCATAATGTCTGCATAAAGAAGCCGCTAAATGTATTCACTGGTAGGAGAAAAGTTTTGTACTAAATAAAAATGCCAATAACTTTTTTTTATTTTATCCATTTTAAATACGGCAAAAAAAAATAAATAAATGAGCGAAAATGTACAACGCTTTTTTTTAATATTCCTTCTTTGATGAAAATAAATGTAAGAAAATTATTATTTTGATGTATTTTTTAGCTTGCCAGAATGAAATATAAGCAACCTATTTATAAAATCAAAGTGATATACTTCACCGGATATTGTAACATGTTTATTTGATGCTAGTCAACTTGTTGGTTGAAAAAGAGAAAAAATTTTGCTACTGTTGAGGTCAGCAGGGTTATTGTTGGAGACACGTACCCACCCAAACCTAATAACATTTTTCATGAATTTAAAAATAATTTACGACAACAACAGTAACAGTTATTAATGATAGATGATAGATGGAAAATTCATCTTCTTTCGTTTAACTGAAAAGGCATCACGATCATATATAGATTTAAATATTACCTCCGATCCTAATTATAAGAGCCAGTTAACTAATTTGAAGAGATTAAGGAAGTAAGTTGAATTAGTTATTTGTCCTAAATAAGTATTATCTTTCCTAAAATATCCTTGCTAATCAAGTGCATTAACTAGAACTATAATTATTAGAAGGACTGTCTTGGAAAAAATTAAGTAAATATGAGAGACAAAATGGATTGAGGTCTTATATTTAGGACCAAAATAAAAGTTAAACAGGGTCTTATATCAAGGACCGGAGGTAGTATTAAAAGATTAAACCCCGAGCGGCCCGATTCAACACGAAGTGATATTTTGAATTTAAATGTCCTTATCGTGTTTGCGTTGAGACATTTATCACCCAATAAGTATCATGTTAATTCTCGCTTAGTGGATGGCGCCAGTCCCCATAGACAAGCAGAGAGGACATTAAATTAAATTAAATTAAATTAAACTGAATGTAAAACTTAACAAAAGAGAACGAAAACCACCGCAATTAAAAAAAAAAATGCACATCATGATTTGGGGTCTTGTTTTGGATACTTATACACGGCATCTTCTTTTTGTTTTTTATTTTCTAAAAACATTCCCATTCTGCTTCTAAACACTGTGTCTGTCATTATATCAAACTTTTAAGGAAAAGATTTGAACTGTTTTCTAATCAGGAATACGTTCTCTATTTTTTTTTAAATATCTTTTAAGTTGCAACGTATAAAAGGCTTTTTCCTTCATTTTCAAAGTATTTTTTATTTTTTTAATTTTATATACCAAAGAAATTTGTAATAGATATTACTATATTAGTAATAGTAATTACTCCCTCCGTTCCTTATTATAAGAGACATTTGGTGCTTATGACATGTTCCTATATATAAGAGACACTTAAAAGTTGTCTCTACTTTTTTGTGGTGATTTCCTATTTTACCCATATTTATTGTCTCCAACTCACACTCTCTCTTCTTCTCACTTCTCTTTCTCTTTATAAATTACCATTGTTCTCTCTCATGTTCTCTCTCCTTATTAATGAGGATATTTTTGGAAAAAAATTATACTTTTTACATATTAATTGTTCTTAACTAATTTTAACTGTTTTTTTGATCAACGTAATTCGGTTATTCGTCTCTTATAATAAAGAACGGAGGGAGTATTAATTAATTCCAAAAAAAAAATCAGGGGAAGAGCTTTCGTAGGGCGAACTACAACTTATCTCCTTGCGTGTTGGCCCAGAAAACAAAGACTATGCCTATATGGACTACAAAATGATCTGTCACAAATTTTCTCCATATTTTTTTTATTGCAATTAAAAAAGCGAATATTGATTTTATGTATAAATTTTCCAACTCGATTCCTCAGGTGGCTGTGTGCATCAAGGAAGCCAAAAATATTTCGTGGATCCAACGATAAGCGGCGCATGTGCGGGTCCGGAGTGACGTTGACTCTCGCATCCGAATATATTTTTTTTTGGTCCAAAAAAAAGTTATCACATCTGCGGCGCGTTACATGAGAAGGGTTCTCACGTAATTTTGACGCGCCCAGTAAATTTGTAATTGCCAAGCTGAGCATTGAGCTTGCTCTGACCAGCCATGAAAAATGACTGCTCTTTTCCATTTGAGGCTGTGTTTCTTTTTTCAAAACCAGCAGTGATGCAGTATAGGCTGAATTTAAAGTATATGCATTCAATTTTTTTTAACCCGAATAATTTTTAAACAACATCTATGATACTCCTCTGGTCTTAAATGTAAGACCCTTATACACACTAGTGTATAAGGGTCTTACATTTAGGACCGGAGGAGTAAATAGGGATATTTTATCCGGTTCAAAACATACTGCTTAACAAAATAAACTTGTTTATATAAAAAAAAAAACAAAATAAACTAACAATTGAACGGAGAAGCATGGAGAAAAGAGGTTTGGATTAGAGCATTTTATGTTATTTATTTATATAGATGAGGATATATATATGCATAATTTATCAATAACGAAGCTTTCTCAAGTCAAATCATCATAATATTCGTTTTTCAATGGCGTGCTGCGAATGAATTGTTTGTGGCCCCTAAAAGAGGGATCATTTCTACAAAACCATACATGTCAGATCACAAGTTGCCTGCCAATTGGCATCCCTGCAAGGCACGGAACTTGCCACCTTGACCTTTGAAGCCACATGACATCATTGCATTTTACTAGTTGCCTCTAAAGCATCCATTGATTTCGTTGCCCCTCAGTTGTTTTCTGTGGGCGTGTGTCTAGTGCAGCAACTGTATTGTTCATGTGCGTGCTTCTTCTCCCTATCAAAATTATTCTCTCTCCGATTTTAAATATAGTAATCACATAATTAACCTGCAGATATTTAGAACATTTAATTAGATTAGTTATTTATAAAAAATGTGTATTAATTTTTCTAAATCTTCTTTTTCCATCACTTGTATTAAAACCTATTATCTTAATATGTGCCGTTAACATAAAAAGTTAGAAAAAATTATACTGCCTCCGGTCTTAATTATAAGAGTTAGTTGACTAATTTGAGGAGATTAAGGAAATAAGTTAAGTTAGTTATTTGTAATAAATATGTGTTATCTTTCATATAATATTTTTACTAATCAAATGTATTGGCTAAAACTACAATTATTAGAAGGACTATCTTAGAAAAAATTACATAAATATGAGACACAAAGTGAATTAGGATCTTATATTTAGAACCAAAATAAAAATCAAACAAGGTTTTATATTAAAAACTGGAATTAGTATTTATAAACCAACTTCTTCGGAAAAAAGCTTTTAGGAGTAAACGTAGGCCTCACGTTTCTTTTTTTACCCCTTCACTTTGCATCTTCACTTTGCATATCATCTCTTACTATCCAAATAGGCAAATATACTGTTCCTTATTCTTTCCGTCTCGTTTTCCCTTTTTCCCGCCTTTCTGTCCATCCAAAACGTAGGTTAAAATACATACAAAAGTATTTTATGACCAGAACAATAAAAGGCGAATCTAGATTTTTAATTATATAAATAAAAAAATTAACCGGAAAAAAACTACACTCTATGTCATAAAACTGACAAAATTCATTGACATGGTTAAGCTTCTAAAATTCCTAAACTTAAAATTAATTATTAGACAAGAGGTACTTTCCCCCCCCCCGACCCATCGGTTGACGAAGTGAATGGCAGGTCAGATTTATGCATATACATGGAGAGAGGCCCATGCTTGTGATGGCTGGTTGGCGAATCTGGTTTGAGCATGCAGGCTGGTTCTCATGGTTGGGCTGAACACCAGCCCAACTGAAGACGTGGAAGATCCACTAGTTTATTTGTATTTTCCTGGTCTTTAGCCCATTTGTCTTTGTACAAAAAAAATTTAAAAAACCGTCGTTTTCTGGAATCTTGTTTGTTTGTGAGACCTATGGTATGTCCCCACGTGTTTCTCGAGATCCCGATTTCCCCCAACCATTCCAAAATCTATGGGGAGCCCACTTGCCCCGCCTTAAACAGTCTTTCCCACTTATACCCCTATTCAACTTCCAATTTTTACCACTCCCTCCCACATCTCCCTTAAGGGCAGAGAGAGAGAGAGAAAGAGACAACATCACTTTCTCAGTACATACCCTCCCTCCCTCTCCCCCCTTGTTGGCTGTCGTCTCCCACGCCCTCCGAGAGCCATGTTTGGAGAATCTGTATCATCTACTCCCTCGATCTGGGCCGTCGTCTACAGCTGGTTCACTCCCACTGTCTTCTTCCTCCTCCTCCAGCTCATGATTGGCACCATTTTCATTACTTCCACCTTCGCCAACAACAGACCCCATAACGAACCAGAATCTCACGACGACCGTCCCCCTCAACAACTCGCTAGATCTCCCTCTGTCCTACAGAGACTCAAATCCATCAATTTCTACAATTACAGATCCCAGGAATCCCCTCACCACACCTCAGAATTTCAAACCTCCCATGAAGCTCCTCAACCTCCGCTTCCGAGATCTCCATCTATGCTTCAGAGGCTCAAGTCCATCAACCTCTATAATTACTTCCCTACTGACCCCATTTCTTCCAGGTTCTCCTCTCCTGACGCAACTCATGAACCGGCCAGCCATTTTGAGTTGCCGAATGCTGTTGAACAGGAGAAACACCATTTGGACGATGCGCCGGTGGTGGAGAGCGATGGAGAGGTAGAAGAGGAGGACGGTGTCGGGGAAATCCAGCATACCGAGCTAGAGCTGTCTCTTGATGATGTTTACAGCGATTTGCAAGGGGTTCACGTAAGCAGGACTAAGTCGGACACGAAGCCGGCGTCCGGCGAGGTGCTGGAAAAGCTTCCCAGGAAGATGAAGAAGTCGGCGACCACAAAATCGGCATTCTCGCATTTTAGGGAAGAAGACATTGTAGAGAATCGGCGGCCGGCGACCATGAGAGAGGCGAAGGTGAGCGAGTCGGAGGCAGACGAGGAGGTGGACGCGAAGGCGGACGATTTCATCAACAAGTTCAAGCAGCAGTTGAAGCTGCAGAGGCTTGATTCCATAATGAGGTACAAGGAAGTAATCCAAAGAGGAAGCGGAAAGTAACAACAGGGAATGGGATTTCCTTTTTGCTGGGTGGGTTTGCTGCTATAATTTTCGTTATTAATCTGAGAATTGGGTCCTGTAAAAGTAAAACTAGGGCTTTTATTTGATTTTGTACTAAAACGAAACTAGTCTGTCAGATGCCGGGGGATGTTGAAGCTTAATATTTTTACATATATGACCCTTATTGTTACTCCATTCTCGGCGAGTCATTGATGCGTTTCTGGCTTTCTGCCCATTTTAGCTTTATGAGGGCATTTCTGGTAATATGTATTCCATGTTCCCGTTCGGACCAATAATCACTATTGAGGTATAGCCATGCTAATCATTTAACAAAATATCTTTTTTGTTAGAGGATATATAGGATGACCGCAAACAATAATCCATACATAATAGTAAATCCAGGGGAGTCCCGCCAAACGAGTTTAAAAGGGAAAAGATAAAGGGGGGAACTTGAGAATGGTCATTGTCGTGGGGAGACGGTGGAAGAGGTGGAGAGAGAAGAGGAGGCACGTGGTGGGGAAGCCCAGTTAGATTGATAGGGTTTTATTATTGAAATGGGCGCATTAATGAGGGAGTGATCTGATGTGGCTGTGCGGAAGTGAAATCATGGAGCCGTGTTTATCTGATTTGGGCCCCCGAGAGAGAGAGAGAATAGTGTTTGTGGTAAACATTCGGGGGATTCGCTGTAACTCACGTGAGGATCTTTCATTTGTCTTTTCCGCTTCCACTTTCCCCGCTGTATTCACCTTTATTTTTTATTGTCATGGGTGAAACTTGAAAGCATTAGCATATTATTTTATGATTCCCCGCCGCAACAACAGCTCAGGAGACGGAAGATGAAAAGAGGAAGGAGCTGTCCATATTTAGCCTTGCCTAAAATGACCGCCAATTCTACATAGGAAACACCACATATTGATGGACGCGAGGGAACTGCATAAAGATAAAGGTTGTTTTAATTCGGATTCCAAGAATGGGCCATGTAGTTGGATCGGATTGTACTTGGAAAAAAAATTGTTCGGGCTGCTTCGGCCTTGTTGTCGCTTGTCCCTTCTTTTTTTTTTTTGGGGTGGTTTGGCGTAAAGATTGTTCATCTTCTCTTGGAATCCTTCGAGACGCGGAAATTGTAGCCGGGTTTCGGGGACTGAATCCAGTGTGCTCATTGCTGGACTAACATGATTTTGAGGTGGGTTGCGTAAACAAGAAAACATGTATGAAAGGAACCATGATGTGAGCGATGGAAATGATTTTGGGAGTAATTTGAGCCTGTGAGATGGTATCTATCTGCCAGGTGTCAAAGGAAATTACGTTGATTGTGTACGGTGACGACACAAAATGTGTCTGCCGTAATTTTTCCGGATGTGCATGGGATGAACTGAACGGGCTCACAAAAAATGAAAAGTGAACAAGAGAATGAAAACAGAGGCTCAACATAATTGATGCTCTGACCAAAGAGGAATTGCGCGAGACTGGCAAGTATTTTAGGGACTCTTTTTATTCAGACGTACTCTGCAGTTTCGGAGTGATCCAAGAGAGGAGGCATGGTTTCTGGTGCTGCTCTATATTTTTGGGTACTGGTACTGGATGGGTGAGTGGAATCGGTGAAGGTGGGGCGGGTCAAATACGAATTGCTCCCCACCCAATCAGCAAGAAGCATTGAGCATATTTATTGGTATTCGCTGTATGTGTCAACGGTGAGCATGGACTGTATAGTAGCATGCGTCGTGCAGAGCGGTTGGGGAAGATTTGGAATTAGTGATTTACATTTCCATTATTCACTGTGCTAACTTGCGCGTAAGGGGTAAGTCCAACCAACAAAGCAAGGAGGAAGGGCACATGGTGGATACTAGAGAGAGATTTGCCAGCTCCGCATGCTGTTTCGTTTCCCTATCGCTTCCCTTTAACTTGAACAACTCTATTCCTGGCTGCCCATATATATATATATATATATATATATATATATTCACAATCATGAGGCTGTTCCCCCGCACATGCATCGCCACTTACTATACTATTATTGGCGTCTTCTTAACAGAGATCTACATTTATGCCACGGCCTCATTTCATTCGGTTTAGTTTTGTGTGTAAATATTTGAGATTCAACTTCTTGAAGGGAATCACCAGCATTTCGCTGTTACGTACAAGGGTTAGTTCCTTATATTTTAGGGTTTCCCTATATATATGAACAACTGATTTGCTTTCAGACATACGACACTACTCTCTATTCATGCACGCCTGTGCATGGGAGAGATGTTAAGACGGCTGTATACTGGGGCAAAAAAGAAAATAAAGAAATTTTCCTTCGAGTTAACTTTCACATTCTTCTTCAAGTCATATTTTCCTGGTTGATGATGTTGGAAGAATTCAAATTCCCAGCTAACATCTTCAATGGTTTATACTGTTTTTATTCCTGAATTCAAATTGGTTAGAACTTACCGTCTCTGCCTAAGGATGACAACGAAAACGTGAATGTCCCCAGGAGATATTATCGTAACAGGAATGACTGAAGTTGTTCGTGGCACCATAATTTGAACATTGAACATTGATCATCGACATATCATGCAATGAGAACATGTTACATAATTTTGTGACCTCCAAGTCCACACAAAAAAAAAAAGGAAGATATTTAGATACTTGGGCAATGACGGATCTAGACCTCCCAGTGCTCAGAATCTAAGAAATGGTGGGGCCAGCATCCGCCAATGTTTACAAGGCACAGGAATTTACTGCTGCTATTTAAATTTTATGTTAGTAACTAGCTACTACTATATATATCTTTGGAGTGACGTAAAAGAAACAATGATAATAATTACGTAATTAAGGTCATGGTGCATGCTAAATCAACCCGTCATCATTATAAACTGCACTTGACCACTCGAAATTTAACACTTCGGATCGCACATCCAAGTGTGCCGTCAAGTCAACAGCCCGCAGTGCGATGTGTCAACTACAAATACTACATTGTAGTATTAATTAAGGTCATTTGTCTTCCCAGCTGTTCATGATTGGAGGTTATATTTGCAATGCTTTAACCAAAAAAAGATGGAAAAGGACAAATTAAAGGGGACCTTCGATGTTCCTGAAAATTCACTCAATCCCACGTTATCGAAGCCCCCTCACCAAATCCTGAAAGGGAGAAATAACTTAAAATAGAGAAGCGCGAACCTTTGTTTGCGAAAAAAATTACTCCCTCCATTTCTTATTATAAGAGACAAATAATTAAATTATGTTAATAAAAAAAAGATTAAAATTAGTTGAGAACAATTAATATATAAAAAATATAATGTTTTTTCCAACAATACCCCCATTAATAAGGAAAGAGAGTACGAGAGAGAACAATTAAATTATTAAAAGAAAGAGAAGTGAGAAGGAGAGAGAGTATGAGTTGGAGACAAAATAAATAGAGGTAAAATAGGAAATCAATACAAAAAAATAGAGACAACTTTTAAGTATCTCTTATATATAGAAACATACCATAAACATCAAATGTCTCTTATAATAAGAAACAGAATGAGTAATTAAATAACAGGACATACCATGCTTGGCATTCAAGTTTTAACTGAAGGGAGAAAATCTTGCTCACATCAAATGCAGAAATTAATGAAATCAAAATTGATTTGTGTGTGGTGGAGTGGAAGCATCTCTTTTGGTGCTCAGTACCAATCCAGCTCCTCCCTCCTCTCTCTTTTTCTTCAGCAAAGCTTCTTTTCTTGGCCTCCGCCACCGCTTATTCTCTTCACACTCAACACATCTCTCGTTCCTTATTATCTTCAACATGACGGACAGAGTCCATCCATCTTCCAAACCCGCCGCCGCTGGCGGTAATGGCGCCTCCTCCAACTCCAATCCCGGCCCTGTCAAGTCTCAACTTTACAACCCCACCCGCCCAATGTACCGGCCTCCCCAGTACAACCGTCGCCGACGCTCCAGCCGTAGCATCTGCTGCTGCTGCTGTTTCTGGAGCGTCATCGGTGTTCTGGCTCTTATTCTGCTGGCTGCCATTGTTGGTGGTGTGCTCTACGTTCTCTACCGTCCCCACCGACCCCAGTTCTCCATCACCAACCTTCGCATTGCCAAGATGAAGCTCGCTACATCCGCTGATTCCTCCTCTCACCTCACCACTCTTCTCAATCTCACCCTTATTGCCAATAACCCGAACAACCACCTGGTTTTCTTCTACGAACCGTTCACCGTCACCGCATTCTATAACTCCGTGCCGATCGGGAATGGATCCATCCCGGCCTTCACGTCGGACAAGAACAACCAGAGCAGCCTGCGAGCGGTGCTGTCGGACTCTCGAGATCTGGATACGGATTCGTTGACTTCGCTGAGATCGGGTCTTAAGATGGCCAGTGGGTTCCCGGTGGTGATTCAGATGGACACCAAGGTGGAGATGAAGATGGAGTGGCTGAAGAGCAAGAGGGTGGGAATCAGAGTGACATGTGACGGAATCAATGGGAAGGTGCCTGCCAGGAAGACTCCGTCAGTGGCGTCGGTGACGGACTCCGAGTGTAAGGTGGACCTCCGAATCAAGATCTGGAAGTTTTCGTTTTGATCACGCGGTCATGATCACCGGTGACTGGTTGATGATCATTGATCAATTAATCCTTTTGGCTTGGTTTAAATTTTTTCCATTTGACATTATTTTCCAAACAAAGTCTCGTTTCAACCTCGGAAGAGTTGAAATTTGATTTACAAGAAAAAGGAAAAAAAAGAAGAAGACCAGAAGTGTATAAATTTCAGGTTGTTTGAGGTTTAGAGCAAGAAGGCTCTAAATTAAGATTTCTTTTTGTTGTCTGTAATTTTTTTTTCTTTTGGGTATACTTGTTTTTTGTGGATGTTCAAGTGATGGATTTTAAGTTTCAGAAGTAATGGAATATTCTATATTAGACGTGGAGGATGATTGAAGAGAGTAAAAGGTAGATATGCATCCAAGCTCACATGATTTTTTTTTTTTTTTGGGTATACTTGTTTTTTGTGGATGTTCAAGTGATGGATTTTAAGTTTCAGAAGTAATGGAATATTCTATATCAGACGTGGAGGATGATTGAAGAGAGTAAAAAGTAGATATGCATCCAAGCTCACATGATTTTTTTTTTTTTTTACCGAGTTGATGTTGGAAATAAATTATTCACTAACAAAATTCTCGTATCCGCGTTGCATTCAAACTCACAAATTTGGGAGTTATGAACCGACGTGTTGTTAATTTAACTGCCTCACGTGATTGAAAGTGAGGCATGCAGATCTAATTGTAGGCCACATTTTCAGTGGCCCTCATTGTTCAATTACTTGCAAGAAGCCCATGCTTTACTTTACACCGCCCACAACATAGTGGCCCATCCCGTATTCGTTGCAAATTTACTCATTTAATTCATTAATTCCAGTGGCCGCTTTGATTAGGCTTTGGCAGGTTTGGATAGCAAAGCCTTTAATATCTGCTTCCATCAAATCTCTGTTATGTCACACCCTCTGATATCCCCTGAATCAAATAGAGAGCGTTTGAAGCTAAAATATTAGGGGAATCTCGTCTTTTGCTCCTCACAATTCTCCCGTTTCCTTTTTTTTTTTTTTTGCCAATTCTCCCCTGTTTCTAATTCACTAGTCCCCTCACTATTCCTGACTTTCTAAAGAACTACTCCTAAAACAAACGCGGCACAACTGGTGGTCACGATGAGCTGAGTTGCAAGATATCTCTAACAGCGGGCAGAGGACTATTCCGGATAGCCTTCGTTGTTCCTTGCCCTTGTATTAAGGCAGTAAAGCATCAACACATTATTGCTTTCCCTCTATTCATATATATATATATATATATATATATGGTGAACTTCAACTATCCACTCTGGCCCATTGCTTCTTCGGATCTTCTTCGACGACAGATGGCATGTTAAAACCCCATTCCCAGCACGACTCCAACCCTTCTAACATAACGTTTAATCCATTCCTCGCTATCCACATCCCGTCTTTCCCTCTTTTGACTTTCCATCAACCTTCAGTTTACACCAACCTTGAGGGGGTGACTTCCAAGAAACCATAATATGAAGTCTTGTGGTAAGTATGAGACGATTTGAAGATAACTTTTGTCTCAACAGGATATTGTCGTCAGTATTACAGCGCAGCGGATTCGGCGGCGCGTGTAACAGAATGGCCGACCACGCTGATGTCATCGTTGATAGTTTTTGGGCCTTCACAAAACAAAAGAACGGGTCTTGTTTTTGGTGTGATGTTTGGGTCAATCATTTCTAGTGAGTGGAATAAGAACTCATGAAGGATGGAGATGATTCTGAAGCAATGAATTTATTCCTCTTTTCACCCATAAATAGAAAAGAATTAATTGCCCTTTCAGGTCAGCGGCATGTGAGTGATCTGACATAAGGACCCATGTTATTCGCATTCCCGCATTGAAGAAACTAAGAAGGAAGCTATTATATCATAGTGGATAAGCATGGACATTGACGATCTGGTTAGACATATCATGTCTTGTAAGAATTCTCCTCTGCTTTGAACCCAAGATTTTATGAATCCAATATCTGATTAGGGTATTGAGCATTATAACAGGAAGATGAGTCTTATAAAACTGGTTTGCTTGTAGTTCGGCTTGGTACTGTTGTGATGTTTATTCTTGTACAGGATAGTTTTATTTTCCTGGGGCGCGCGCACACAGAGAGAGAGAGAGAGAGAGCAAGCATGGGCCTGCTAAAAAAGACACCTTTATAACAGATGGCTTCAGCTCTAAGCCCTTCAACAATTCTGCAAAATTGACTCAAGTGTGCCGCTGAAAAGTACAAGTTGCACACTTGCAGACACTGAAGTTGTAAGAAAATATCGGACAGTTTCAATTTGGTTTTCTCTTTTCTCATCGGTCAGAGTGTATAGAACACCCCTCTTCCCTTTATAAAACGTTCATCCATAACTAATTTAGGCGCCTTTCCCTCAAGTAAACAAAAATCCCGCAACACACGAAACAAGTTGCAAACCATACGATGTTAACCATAGCTAACATTTTCAACAAACTGATATGAGCAACGAAACTAGAGGAACATTCAGTACATTTGAATGTAACAAATGCTTCAATCCTCGTGGTCCAGAGAAGACAGTAAAACATTCAAAATAAAAAGAGAAGACAGTAAAACATAGAACAGTGTACTTACATGCCTCTCCTCGGCTCAAGGGCTGAAAAGCGAAAACAAACAAGATAAAGACTATACCAACCTGCAAGTGATGGGTATCAGTAATAGATGGGATTGAAGCTTCCAAACAAAGTGCATAACAATTATTCTTTCCCAAAAATCACCCTCAGATGACCGTGTCAAGAGCATCTCAGGAAGCTTCGCAGGGTCCCCTTAACCGTGAGTGTTAACAGCTTCCCAAACTAAATTTTTGGGAATGGGATTAGAGAGATTGCGAGCCTGGAAGGCTGCATCTCGGAGTGTCTGAATCGTCAGTGCATTGGCTTCCCAGAATGACACACAGTTGTAGGGCAAATTATGTGTTCTGCATAGCTCGCTCACCAAAGGCGAGATTTTCCTCAACTGGCACCGGGGTATCCTGGGAAACAGATGATGTGCCACCTGAAATTGCAATCCTCCATGAAACCAATCCATCCAAGCTGAGCACTTTATATCAAGCGTCCCACTGGTCTGCTTCTCAAACCAATCATTGGCGTTTGGTTGGCCGACATAGACACTGGCAGAGAAATGATTCAAACAGAACTGAACATGTTGTATTCCTGTGACAGCAAAACTAGCAACGACAAACAATATTCTCTCACACCAAGTGGGTAAGCAGGAAACCAGTAGAGGATACCAAATCCAGAAAACAAGCAGCCCAAGAAGCTCCTGGACTCTATTAGGCACCTTCCTCTTGGACAGCAATAAGGTGAACGATTGAGCGAATAAGTTTACTCTGGCAAAGCACATTACAGGGTAAAACGTCCAATGCTGACAGCTAACCAGGAATCTTGATACAGAATCAAAATTCAACTTCCTCTCGTAGAAGTAAGATGTAAGGGAGTTGAAAAATTTCGAAGACACCGCAAACAAGGGCATGTGCTGAAGATCAGGATCGAATTCGAGACTGTTACAAGCAATGTGATGAGCATTGTGGTTCCACTTCCACCATGCAATACTGATGCCTGCAAGGCAATTCCCAGCAAGGATCTGGGCAAACCGATTGAATCCCCGACTCGTCATTACCTGATAGTGACCAGAGTCATGCCCAATCCACCCGCTCTGTATCCACAAGAACCCCATTAATCCACCGCAACCCACATGCACCCATGGGCTATCACAGCACAAAACACCATAAACACAAACACAAAACGAAATTGCCATGAACAGAAGTGAGAAGAACACTCCATGTCCTTTCTTTTCAAATAAACCCATCTTGGAGAACTCAAATACAAGTTTCTGATAATCCTTAGACACCTCTGATGTGGTGTAGTCTTGGAGATAATACCCGGTAAAGAACCTGTCGAGGTATTGCCATGCTGAGCCAGGGTGGAAAGCAAGAAAGGCGTTTGTAACGTCCTGGCCGGCGAGATTGAACAATGGAAGCTCACCGCCAGGGTGATCATCAATCCAATGAGAGACGTCATAGATCTTGCCCTGTATAGAGATCCAAAGATCTCCCCTTTTATTGTGTTTGCTGAGGTCTTGCTGTGAAATGTATTTGGTTGGCTCCGCCATTGCAGCAGCAAGGAGAGATCTATCAGAAGATGCTCTTTCTGCTGCGAAGGAGAGAGGTGTAGGATTGCAGCAGCAGAAGACCAATCGTTTCTAAAAGATGCTGATACTAAGAGAGACGAGGAAGAAGTGGGGTCAAAGGGTGCGTGATTGTCTGATCGCTGCTAAAAATCTTCTCTGTTTGGGCCCATTCATGGATCCAATGATTCAATGACCGCCTCACAATGCTTGAAAAGTTAAGCGAGTGGTCACACGGAAACAAATCTTATTTATTATTATTGTTTCTCATTATCTTTTTGCGCTCTTAATCACGATCAGGGTGATGCATGAGGACTGTTCTTTTCTCCTTTTTCACTTTTCCATAAGCACATGAGGGTTGTTTCTCACCGCATTTTTTGAAAAAGGGAAAGCTCCACAATGAAGACCGTTAACTTTTCCGAGGAATCTTGGAATTAATTTTTAGATTGATGTGTAAATGTCAGAACGGAGCAATATTATTATGTTATTATGTTTCTGATTTATTTATGCGTATGACTCATTAAATAAATTAATCATTCAAATGACTAATCAATGACAGACAATTTTATATTTAATAGATGTTATATCGTAATTAAGATGTATTTTGATATTTCTAGGTACATCGTATGGTCACGCGTTTATTTTATGATAAATGCTTTCCATCCATCACCCCCAACAAAATCAATCTTCAAAAGTTTTTATTTTTATTATTTTGCGTTCTCGTGTTATAAATTAATAATTTTTAATTAATATTATTTTTTGTTTTTGATATAAGAACTAGTTAACTAATTTAAGTAGGTTAAAAAAATTAGTTAAATTAATTATTTGTAATAAATAGGTGTTATTTTTCTTAATCATGTGTATCGGTTAGAATTATTATTTAATAAAACATTTAACATGTGTAATTAATGTAATAATTATCTTAAAAAGATAAATAAATATGATAAACAAAATGAATTATGATCTTATATTCATGATCAAATTAAATGTCAAATTAGATTTTATGCTACCTCTAGTCCTTAATATAAGACTTTGTTTGACTTTTATTTTGATCATAAATATAAAACTCCAATTCACTTTGTCTCTTATATTTATGTATTTTTTTCAATATAGTCCTTTTAACAATGGTATTTCTAGCTAATACACTTGATTAGTCAAGATATTTTAGAAAAGACAACACTTAATTATTACAAATAACTAACTTAACTTCTTTTCTTAATCTCCTCAAATTAATTAATTAGCTTTTATAATTAGGATCGGTATTAAATTTTAAAGATAGAATAAGATATCACCGTACTGCGGGCTTATTAAAACACCCGGGTGGCTTTAATATACAGGGTTGGGAGGGAGAAGGGGAAATGAGATTAACAGAATAAAAGAGGATAGGCGAAATATAGTGATAATTATCCAAATAATTATTCAGTGAGTGTGCGGTGTTGAAGACAGACAAAGTGACTCCGCCTTAAATTTTTAGAACAACGGCCGTTTTGAAACAAAATAAAAAACCTCACCGGTAGAGTCCGTAATATAGATTGAGCCCATAGAGTCAACCCGCCAACTCATCAAGAAGTAACCAGCTGGGTTGATGAAAATCATGTTCATTTTAAAACGGATTTTTTGAATCTGTAACTTCCAAAACCAAACCAACGGTGGGTTAACCCATAGGGTTGGAGGCTGACATTTTTTTGTTTTTTTAAATTTTTTTCATTCCTCAAATATAATCATATTTACTTCTTTAGTCCTTTCTCTCATTTCTATTTACCCACAGGGTGGAGGGACCGGCTTTTTTTTTAAATTTTTTTGTTCTTTCCTCAAATATAATTATGTTTACTTCTTTAGTTCTTTCTCTCATTTTTATTATTTAAAGTCATCATAATGTAATATATCTTTTACTTTGTATTATGAATTTTATTTGTATCAAAGTTAGTTGAGCAAAGAAAAGGTGACTCTATTTATAAAGCCTAGCCAAATAATTTATCATCTTCGTATCATTCTTCAAACTATATTAACATTGAATGATAGCTCATAGTTGAACACTTGATAGTGATTTGTAACATTATGTTTGTATTATCATTAATTTAGATTCGCTATGTTTTAATTTGGAATGTATGTTTAATCATTTAGGATAATGTATCATATATGCTTATAGTAATATTTTGGAATGTTTGAAACTTTAAATTTCATATTTTATTTAGGGAAAACCATATTGGAGGTACCTATACTTTTTTCTAATTTTGTTCTTAACTAAATCTTTAGTTTTCCTCTATTAACATCATTAATCCTTATGTAGAGACTAAAAATATCAATAGAATAAAGTTATAAGAGCTAATGTTACTAAAAAGATAAAATTAAATGTTTAATTAAAGGGGAAAAAACACATAGGTACTAAATTAAAAATTGAAATAAAGTATAGGTACCTTCAATATGATTTTTCCTTTTATTTATAATAATTTATATATGCATATTTTATTTTAGGTGTTTAGAAATTAGAATAAATTTTATTAAAAGAAAACAAAAGACAAAAAAAAATTAAAAAAAATTGTGGCTAGTTGGGTTGGAAAAATATCAGCCCATCAGAAGTCGGCCTTTTGGACCGGCTTGTTGGTCCTTGAGCATGCCACAGGCCAACCCATATCCAGTGGGTTGGCTCGTATTGCTAGCTCTACTCATTGGTGTTAGACAGCAAGAAAACTATTTTATAAAATTCATGGGCCAAATGATAATTCTGAATAAAATCAGAAGATCAAATAAAAACGATTTTTTATAACATAATATACGACACACACAAATAATATGCACATGTATAATAAACTAATATGTCGCATGTCATTATCATTATAGTACTGCCTACGATATTTAATACTCCTCCGGTCCTTATTATAAGACCCTATTTGACTTTTTATTTGGTCCTAATTATAAGACCCCAATCCATTTTATCTCTTATATTTATGTATTTTTTTTCAAGATAATCCTTCTAATAATGATAGTTTTAGCCAATATACTTAATTAGCAAGGATATTTTAGGAATGACAACACTTATTTATTATAAACAACCAACTTAACTTACTTCCTTAATCTCCTCAAATAAGTCAATTGGGTCTTATAATTAGGACCGGAGGAGTACTATTTATGATCCTTAATATAAGAATTAGTTGACTAATTTGAGTAGATTAAAAAAAATTAGTTAAGTTAGTTATTTGTAATAAATAGGTGTTGTCTTTCTTAAAACATCTTTACTGATCAAGTATATTGGCTATAACTACTATTATTATAAGGAGTATATTAGGAAAAAATTGACAAATATGAAAAACAAAGTAGATTATGATCTTATATTTAAAACCAAAATAAAAGTCAAATGAGTTTTTATATTAAGGACTGGAGGTAATATAAAAGTTAGATAACTAATTTAGAGAAATTAAAAAAATTAGTTAAATTTGTTGTTAACTTTTCTAAATTATCATATTTAATCATGTGTATTTAAATTACTTCTTAGTGAAAATCTCTTATAGATTGGAGTTAGTATTTAGTACCGAATATAGTACTTCTCCGGTCCTAAATATAAGACCCTTATATAATGTGTATAAAGGACCTATATTCAGGAGCGGAAGAGTATTAAACAGGCCTTGATAAGCTTAATTAAAGTCTAATGAAAACCTTTAAAGCTTAAGAACCTAAGGCGAGACAAAGACGAAGCATGGCGCAAATTGAAGCTGAAACTTAGGGTCAGGATTGTATAAGGGGACGGGTAAGGCCTATCCATCCCGACTCACTTCCCCCCCCCCCCCCAGTCATGTGCAGAGGGATGGGACATTCAACTACTTGCTCCCACACAATACAAAGAAAGAGAGTGACAAGGAAAGCAAAATATACTGCAAGCATAATAATTTTACGTTTTATAGCTCCTATATATTCTTCATCTTCCCTGGTTTCCGTCAAAATAATACACATATATTTGAATAATTTATATAGTTTTCATATCAGCTTGAACCTAATTACAAAACCTGAAATCATGAAGTGCATACATAATAATGAGAATTGTTCCTGGAGGGGCGAGTCCAAGCCATAGCGTCTGGTTGTCCGTTGTTGTTATCCATTCTTCACGGGCTGGCCAGAAGTTCCCTCTGACAATTGGGAAGAATACTCCAAAAATCATGGTTATTTGTACGAATGAAGTACCAAGAATACTGATGTATGACTTTTTTTATTTTATTTTATTTCATTTTTTATCATTGCATTTTATATTTTACTTGAGAACAAAAAATAAGGAAAGAATAGAAGACGTTATGGTTATGGTTATGGTTGACGATAGGCATGCGATTTAAGGGAGGTGGTTGGGCAGAAGGGCGAGATAGGGAGCAGGGGTGGGCATTATGGGAAGCCCAGGTTATGGTTATTGAGTAGTGACATCAAAACCCCCGAGAAGGCCCACAAATCCCCTTGGGCTGCCCCATTAACCATATAACCGCTGAATTAACGTGGGACCAGGATTTTGCTGGAGAATTGCGGGGCCACAGCCTAATATATTTATGTCACGCAAGACTCGTTCCTCGGCTTCTCCTCCGCATCCATAGAAATCCTACCCCTTGTTAACACAAACTCCATCAACTCATCACCTTTAATACATCCTTTAGATTTTAACAAAATTCTCAACTGAAATTTTTTTTCCCGTTCCACACATGTATCATTTTGTTGGAGGTAATTATATTTAAAATACTGTTAGGCACTAAATTTGATCACATCTCCTTATAGGAATTCAAATCTTGGTTTAACTCTATCTTATTCTACATCATGCGCTCGTCATAATGGGCCTACATATGAACCAAGTCTGTATAAAAAATATGGATTCAAGGTCACGGGCCAATGTCAAACTGCTTCCAACATACATTGATGTTTGATTGTCATGTCTTGTAATGGGCAAATTGAGTTTGTCATGTCTTCCAACATACAGTCATGAAAAACCTTAAGTTATGTATATATAATATCAAATTGAAGTTATCTCATTTCTATATTTTCGAAAAGCTCACTATCCCTTGACCTTGGCATCCCAAGAATGACCAGCCTTGACAAATTTGTTTCCGCTTTCTAAAAGATGTAAAATCTTCATAAACTATATTATGGATTTAAAGCTTTGCTCGTCTCTTACTGTGTCACTGTCAAAAAGCTTCTTAGTTCAACAAGTTGTCCTCAACACATGCATTGACATTTTACTTTTGACGTCCCATTGTTATTCCTCCTTTATTAGCTTCTGTTCTTGTACCTTTGCCGTCATCTTGAATCAAAACATTAAGACAAATATTAAGCCGTCCATCGTAGAACCTTCATTTCCAAGCTAAAGACTTTTCGGTTCGTGATTATCTTGTCCGCCATTTCCCGTCCTCAATATTTTCAACCAATTTCTTCAACTATACTTAACGCATCCCAACCAATGTCGTGGATTCATAAGAAGGCCACTGTTTCAATAATTTGTTATATCAAAATAAATTACACAATTCTCTAGGGTGAAACAACATTATGCATGTTCATTTGCATTTTAGTTCTATGTTTTTTTCAAACACTGATATGTAATAAACAATCGCAGCTGTATTTAGCTTGTCACGCCAAAGAGAAAAAGGAACTAAAATTGTTTCTTGAGTTAGAATATAAATAGTTGCTCAGTTTCTATTGCTCAAATAATCAGAAGTAATCAATATATGATTCATTGACGGGTACAACACAACCACTATACTTTTAGAATAGGTACACCAATTCACGCTGATATTCCATTATAAATTTAAAAAAAAAATCGAGCTTGGGTTTTTTTTTCAGTTCTTTTCCAAACAAATCTCATACTCCTCCGGTTCTTAATATAGGACCTAATTGTTGAGTTGATTTTAATCCTCAATATAAGATACATTTCTTATATTTATCAAGTTTCTCTAAATTACCTCTATGGATATTTCCTTAACCATAATCAAGCAGAAGAGAAAGGGGGTATTAAGAAAGATGATTATGGTGTTTTAGGAAAAACATGTCACATTTCTTATCATTAACTAGCTTACCTAACTTTTCTAATCTAATCAAATTAGTTAAATAAGTCTTATATTAAAAATCAGAAAAGTATTTACACAATTATAAGTTGAAAAATATATTGATACTTTCTGTAATAATGATAGTTTTAAAAAAAGCAGAGACCAGAAGGAAAAACAATGCGGACAAAAACAAATTACGCGTGGAAAACGAATCCCCATATATGCAGACTCGTCCCTCGATGATCTTCCCCTTTTCTGTTGAACCATCACAACAAGAATTCTTTTCACTTCTGTGCATCTCGTTTTTTTAATGGGAAGTGCAGTATTCTTCCTCATTTTAAGGTGGCCTGTCGTTTTTTACTTATTATTACTTCAAAATTTGTACAGATTCATTCCAATAAAATAAATATAAATAACAATTAAACTGTGACTAGAATACATATATAGCTCATTGCCACTATTCTAAGCTGGCCCTACCGGATATGCATGTGTATCAACTGTTCATTTTTATGTACTTCAAAAGTGGCTTTAACTTCATATGTATACAGCTTTCTTTTTTTCTGTCAAAAAAAAAACATTCTTCTTTAATTTTGGGGAAAAGAGGAAACCCATTACAAGTTAAAGAGATGGACAGGTCGATCGACACAAAGTTCACAAGTAAATAGTCACAGGTAAAGAAAAATGACTTCACGAGAAAGACAACAGACAAAACAGTAATAATCATGCAAAGACAGGAAGAGCCCTCATATATTCCATCGCCTAAGGATAAAACATCACTGTCAAACTGTTCATTTCTTTCCCTTTATCTGCGTTACGTTTCCTTCATTGTGTACTTCACTCATATATAGCTTTTCACTTCGTATACTATATATATCAAGGGTTTCAATATATATCACCTCCCCCATATCTACATTCAAATTAAATTTCATATTCGCTGGTAAAAAAAAATTAAATTTCATATTCCCTCTGTGTGCGCGCGTGAATGCATGCATGTATGGATATGAAATGAGCTAGCTATAGACATATATATGTAAATATCACGAATAATATAACGTCGGCAACCATTCTTATCATGAACCGAGTTTCCAATAATCATTAAACCATATAATGTGTACGCTATTGTAAATATTTAACTACATGCTCGCGCATGTGTTTATATCCATTGCCAAGGGGAAAATGAAACCGAGACAATATATTTTATATCCACAATTTATTTAATTAGAAAACTCGTCATTTTGATTTGTATCGCAAGTGCTAAGTGCAAATGAGCAGTAATCTTTGGGGAGAGTGTTTTCAACGGAAGGGGCAGCGGTAGATTTGTGGGTAAAAATTTAGGCATAGAAGTGATAAAAAATGTGTGCGGATTCTCACAAAATAATTACACATCGTACTTAATTATATTATAAAAAAACACCTCACAGAACAAGCGAGCTCTGCGCCTTTCTAAGATAATGATAATAATCACTTACGACAAAGCCTAAGATAATCTTATGTCGGCCATGCAGTTCTCCATGAATTATGAAATTATATATTTGTATTAAAACAACAAACACTTTTGGCACTCTACCAGCTTGGATCGATGTCAGATATATCGCTAAATATAATAAGAATCATCAAATTAATGAAAACTTGTGCTGAAAATAATATTACGAAAATTAGAACTTGAAGGCTGAGACGAATAGTTGTCCCTTTACAGCACTATTCAGTGTCCATATTCAACTACAGGAATATGCCTTAGCCAAGGAAATTAAAATTAATTTGACGAGTCCATGTAAGACAGAATTGAAACCTTTTGGAAGATGTATAAATACCACCAAGACAAGGCATTATTGGATATATATTGTACATCGATTTCATGTACAAACAAACCTAATTAACCTTGCCAAGGTGTTTGGTTGCGACTTTGCTTACCATACGACGAAGAACCCAAATGGTCAAGCCCCGATATGTTGAAAAAATCTTTTTGAGAAAAAGCCTTGAGACCCAGAAAATCTCGGGTCATTTCATCGCTAGCAGTGTCTCTTGCTGGATTCAACATTCCTCTCAAAGCATCCTCGAAGGAAGATCTCTCAAAGGCTGTAGCAGAAGAAGCAGTATTCGCCATCATGTCATGGAAAAGAGAAGTAGCAGGTGGAGATGCTTTGTTGCAATTTACAGCAGTAACACCATCTTCTAAGTATTCAGAAGGGAACCCTGCAGCTTTATTCCCATAAGAAGCCAAGGCATGAGGCAACCCCATCTGGTCACGTGAAGGCATACCCAAACCAGAAACGGCTGAAGAAGAGGATGAATTAGGCATGGTGGTACATTGACGATCAGATTGAGGCATGTGACCTATTTGTGATGCTTTCTGCAACAAAGCAGTGGCTGACATGTAAGGAGGGGCTGGGGATTGGAAATGAGGAAGGGACGGTGCGGGGTTAGGGTTTTGATGATGGTGATGGATTAAATTGAAGGAATGATCTAGATGTGAGGGGGAGACTAATGGCCTGAAAGTGTCTCCATTTGCAGCTTCTCCCAACCATGGTGGAAAATCTTGTTCTTTTTTTGCTAATATTGTTGGTGGTGGTGGGGGAGCTTGGAGGGGATGGCTATGAAGAAGGGGGTTCACTGCCGTAATTGTTCTTGCACTCTCCTGTGCTAAAGCATCACAGAAGGCTCTGTGTGTGATGAAACTGTCCCTTCTGCAATAAAAAATCGGAAAAGGCAACCACTAAACAACAAAATCAATATCACAATATAATGTTCCACATTACTCTCTCTCTCTTCCTAGTGTCGTCTTTTTGAATATTCCTTCTAAGTGTTATAACCTCACACATATCAGATGTTGGCCATTGAAGTCCTTGAATTGATATATACAAGGTCACCACTACACTCGATGCATTTTTTGTGTTGAAAATCCGTAATTGATCAATAGAACAAACTAATTAACTGGAAGGTTTTGTTACCTAGAGAAGATGGTTCCGCAATCACATTTGTACTCCTTGGTGCCACAAATTTTAGAGTGAGCCTTCCAGTCAGACTGAACAGCGTAACGCTTGGAGCATTTTTCACACTTCCATTTTTTCTCGCCGTGCTTCCTGCAGAAATGCTTCTTGATGCCAGTGAGGTCTCCGAGGGCCCTTGAGGGGTCATGGTGAACACATGTTACCTCCGGGCACACATAAACCTTCTTTTTGATGACTTCTTTGTTGTTTCTTTGCTTGAGCTTCCATGGCAGGTTGTGACCTCTTCTGTGAAGCTGAAGATTTTGGTCTCTTTGGAACCCTTTGTTGCATATTTCGCAAATGAATCGGTTTGTCGCCAAGAGGGACTTGGGAGATAAGGCTATTACTTCAGCCTCCGGGTCTGAAATGATTGAAACCAGCGAATACTGATTAAACACATCGTAATTGAAGAATAATTAGCTAATCATATAAGAAACAAATTAGACCTTGCCTTTTGCTCCAAACCCAATGCATACCAACACATTTAAAAAATAAAGGGAATTGAAAAACGGATAATCAATACTACTACTGATTTGATTTATGTGACCTGGATTTCCCGGAAGGTTTCTCTTCTTTTTGGGTTGTGGTTCTTGATTTGTTGAAGTGGAGGAGTACTGCTGAGGATAGAGAGAGACAGGAGTATCATTTCTGGTCCCAGAAGAAGCGCTTATTTCACTAGATGCAGATGTCAAATTTGACATATTCTCATCCACCAGCAAAGCTTTCATCATCTTTTTACAAACTAGCAGTGAGATATAAATCTATGGCAGATCGGCATTTGCAACACCAGCCTGAAGAGAAATCTGAGATCTGAAGTGCAAAACCTGATTGTATATATATAGAGACTGCTGAAACTGGAAACTATACATGCAACGATCAATTGAACCCGTTAAATAGAAAAATTGAATTCGTCTGCGGTGGTGATCCCACTGAATTCGAATAAATATATATAGCTCTCTTGTTACTAAGAATTTGAGGGAGAAAAAAGCCGAGAAAAAAAGTGAGTGAATTTCAAGATGGATAATCCTGAGCAACTGGAAACCTATACGGTCATAATAATTGGAATACGTTTAGCTGTAGGTGAAGCAAGCTGAAGGAAAGTGCCTGAAAAGAGGGTAGCTGCTAAACACAGTTAAATTTTGTAGATAGTTGAGGAAGTTTCATGGAGTTGTCTGGATGCGTGAGTATGAGAAGGGGAAGAGCAGGAAAAGGAAAGAGAGGGAGGGAGGGAGGGAGGGATGTGGATGAGAGAAAAGGATTCCTTTGAAGCTCACATCCATACAGGACCATAACCCAAGCCAAACAGGGCTTCTTCTGACGTGCCCTTTCTGTCTTTTCCTTTGTCTTTTTCCTCCTTTTTTCTAAATTTTTCTCCCTTAATAATTGCTTGACATTATGAGATCATGATTTCCCCCTTCTCTCCTTGATTCAAATATTATCAATTACTATATTTTTCTAATCTGAATGTGCCTGTCTGACACATTATTGAATGATTGTTCAGGCCAACATTCTCCCTCCCTAAAAAGTAGAGATAAAGTAAACCAGAGAGATTATGAACTTTTAACATCATGGGTAAAAGTGATAAAAAGCAAAACTGCTTTACCTCTTTCTGCACTCACTGCCATCAATGCTTCACAGATTGGAATTTGCAGATATCCTCCCCACGAACTACAGTTCCCAACTCATCATTACCATATGTTCCTATCTCCAGCTTTCTGTGCTATTTGATCTCACACACACAGAAATCTCTTCAAACGAATTAATTTATATGATTTACTGTTTATGACGCTGTTCTTTTGAAAAATTGAACTCTTTCTTTAATGGCGTCATTTATTTTCATGGTTTCTGAGGAGAAACGGGAAGGAAGTGTTTGCGTGTGTGCATAGGTCGGCCCCCCGTGCATACTGCCAACCCATCACCGCTTGTGATCAGATTTTTTTGTCGAAAGAAGACACAGAGAGAGCTCGAGGCGTGTCGGTTTTATTCTAATATATATCACGAAAAGCCGCTGCCGATTTATTTTGAGTGCCATAATAGTATATATAAACATAATATGAAAAGTTATACCATATCAATGTTTGTCCACAGTAGAAGATGACAACGTACTAGATAAACGTGGGTGACATGATACGGCTGGCTTTTACCTTTCCTTCCTGGTCAGTTTATATCTGTTGGGTCATTTGAAATTAAGTTGGGGTTTCAACCTCTGAAACATAAAATAACAATTAGTGAATTAATTAATAAGAGGGACATTATGATCAGAGATGATGATTAGTATAATTGTGGTGGAGCCGATCAAAGTGAAAAGGAAATGAAACTGGGGACTAGGTAGTACAACGCAAAGTGGGACGAGTAGTGAGTCACCATTCCATATTTGTTCTGTCAAAATATATAATGATTACTTTGCATGCCCTGCGTCTGCTATTTACATGACAAGTCTTGCTGAAAACAAGAATTAAAACATCAGATCGAAAAGATGAATAAATAAATGTCATGATCCACCACGACGTTGTATTTCTCGAGCATATATTCAGTATTCAGACTCCGTCACAGCTTATTATTATCTGATTGCATACTCGCGTACGTAAACCAAAATGTGTGTGCGTGTGTGTCTTTGACTTCAACTCCAACTGATCAGCCAGTAAAAGAGGAAAGGTTGAGATTTTCTTGTTCTGCCTTATAGCAGCTTCCTGCTTTCAATGAATATTATTCATCTAACGCAAACTGAAGCCGCGAAGAGCCTTTCATTTACTAAATTTGATTTTGTTCCTAATATTTACTCAACTGGATGTACTGTGCTTTCAATAAATATTATTCATCTAATACCTTCCATATTAAAATATGAACAATAACATACTCTTTTCATACGTAAATTATTCCAGAATTTGTTAACCTATCCATATTCAAAATATGAAACAATTTGTTATTTCAGTATATGTTATCTTCGGAAAAATTATTTGGTAAAAGAAATCTTCCAATAAATTAAAATTTAAACAATGTGTTCTATGTTATTCCCATATAAATTAGATTTTAAACAATATATTCTAATTCAGAATTTCTTTAATCACAAAAGTAATATTAAAAATGTAAACAACTTGCTCTAGTTTAGAGTTGTTTCTCTCTGTTCATAATAAAATATAAATAACACCTTATTGTAGCTTAAAATCTTTTAGCCCGTGCAAATTAAAGTTCAGATAACAACTAACTGATCAGGACAATAAAGATAAACTATGTCATTGACAGTGAAGACGGGTCCACTAACACTATTCTCCTCATTATACATCAACCATAAAAAATCTATTGGAGAGAAGAATTGAAAAGAAGAAGAAGAACTGCTGTTTAAAAAACTATGGTTCTACAGTGTAAGGTGACGTGCTTTCCTGAAATATAGAATAGAATATAGATATGGATGGAAGAGGGTGGGGGGAACAGAGATAGGTCACTCATGAAAGAGTGGGTCTTACCCTTTGGACTTTTTAAGCCCACAAAAAATGCATAGTATTGAACAAAAATCTTTCTAATAAAGTGCTCTATGTTATGTTGGACAAGCCAACGTAGTTTGATTTCAGCGAGAAGGATTAGCTTCTGATAACACGTCGAATCAAAATTTTAAATGATACATGCGTCTAATAAAAACTATGTTCAACCGTACTCTCTGTATATAGTGTTTGTTGGATGTATAGTTTGAAAGAATAATCAAGGTTGACCGCATGCACAAGTTGGTCTTATGAATATTTCGAGTCCAGGATGGTAAACTTGTTTTTAAACTCTCTCTCACCTTTCTTCCTCCGTATGTAATCTGAAACACTGCTTCGATTTAACGATTGATCAGAAAGAAGATGACAATTCGTTGATGGAGCTTTTGTGAGTTCTTCTGCATGCACGAATCTTGTACTCGCTATCCTTCAGCTCAAACTCGTCGCAATAGATTTCTGCTTCCCAGGATGTATCTGGCTTCCAGCAAGGAAGACTTCATCAAGCAGCCACTTCATGGGGAGTTAAGTAGTCTTCCGTCTTCATAAAGCCTTAGCGTCTACGTTGCTGGCTTGATGGCTATTGGCTGGCACTAATTATCACACCCTTCCTTCAGTATTCGAGATTCCACTCCACGATTTTACCTAATCAGCTACGTAAAAGTGTTCTCTTTTTTTTTTTTTTAATAAGCTGATGTTAACAGTTGACATTTTTTTATTAGCACATATATCCTTACAGTCATATTTATAACACTATTAGGCATCAGGCGTGTTACTTTTTTCAGCAGGAATTTAAATTTTAATTCTAACTCATTCTGCTAAACTTAACTTGGCATCGTACGTGTTACCATTTGAATACTATTTTTTTAAAAACAAACATTTGAATACTATTTAATACTCCTCCAATCTTTAATACAAGATCCATTTAACTAATTTGATTAGATTAAGAAAGTTAGGTAAGTTAGTTAATTATAAGAAAAATGACACATTTTTCCTAAAATACCATAATCATTTTTCTTAATACCCCCTTCCTTTTCTATTTGATTATGGTTGAGGAAGTATCCATAGGAGTCATTTAGAGAAAATTGATAAATATGAGAAATGGATACCAAAACCAACTCAAAAATTGAGTCTTATATTAAAGATCAGAGGAGTATTATCTTTGTTCTTGCGATTTGTTGGGTTAAGCCCATTCTACGCTTGACAAGGGAAAAGGCTCCCATAAGAATTCCGTGAATATTCACTTTGACCTTTATCAAAAAATAAAAAATAAAAAAATGCGTCAATTCCTTGTGAGTCCGTCGTCCTTCAGGAGTTTGGCTAGCCAATTGCCAAGTGGCGTTCATTTCGTCATTTGTTAATAGAAGATACTCAAATTAAATGATATTCGACCACCCTGCAAGTTGCAGTTACCACTTATACCAATCATCCCGAAGTGTTAATGTTTTTTTTTTTTTTTCCGGCGAAGAGATTTCGATAGTTAGTCATAAGTTAAAAAAAAAATCAACATATTATAATCCTAAAATGGCCCCGGGCACCACCGAGCAGAAATCAAGCGTGCTTTGGTGAGAATAAAACCAGAGAATTGCACGAAGGATTGATTATGGTCACGGGCATAGATTCATTCGCTTAATCCTAAAATGGATGGCGTCTTCAAGGGAATGAGTGGGAATTTGAATAAAGCAAATAAGCAGTGAGGGAGGTGGAAGGAAGGGCTGGGAAGACGACGGAGGCGGAGATTCGAACGACGTGAGCAGAGCAGCTGGACGCACAAACAACAAGTTCTGTATTGAAGCCCTACTCTTCACTCACTAACTTTTGCCGTGATCTGATGGCAGAGGCGGTCATGGGTGGCACGGTGCACACGATTGTGGCCCCAGTGGAGCGGGCCAAGCTTTTGTTGCAGGCCCAAGAAAGCAATATGGCTATTGTTGCCGGTGGGCGTCGGAAATTTGAAGGCTTGTTTGATTGTATACTCTGTACTGTCAGTCTGTCAGGAGAAGGCATTCTCTCCGTGTGGAGAGGCAAAGCAGCAGTGTTCTTCGCTGTTATCCCCACGTCACCCTCAATTTCTTACTCAAGGTTTGTTCTCAACTTTTTACTCTGCAATTGTGTATCATAATCTGTTTTTACTCTGCAGTTGTGTGTATCATAATCTGTTTTTGTGAATGAATTCTCCGGAAGCTTCTCATATTTACGGTGTCTCTGGATTACTCTTGTGCGAGGCTTTCTTGCGTTTCTTTTGTCTTTGTGATTGGTTTTTTGGTGTTATTCTGCCTTTGCTATTCTTTTTTTATGCTTAATTACGAGAAGCAAATAATTTGAATTAGAACCTCATCAATCTGTGCATCACCCCTAAATCATATGAACCGTCATTAGGAAAAGGAAAAGTCAACTCACTGCAGCCGAGCTTCTGATGCACACTGATCATTCACTCTTCATCCGGCTGAAATTTTACCTATTTTTGGTTTATGTTATCTAGAGAATGCCAGCAGTTTGTGTATTGAACTGTATTATCATTTACCAATGTTTCGGAGGGAGCAGAACTAGTTTAGTGTATTGACTGTCAACATAATTTGGGATGAGATGGCTAGACTACTTTAAGAGCAATGCCGGAAGCAATTTGATCGGAGGCACTGTGTTTTTTTTTTTTTTTTCCGGGTTCAATTCCAAAACTAATATGAGATAAAGAAAAGAACCAATGCCCAAACATTTTAAAACATACCATCGTTACAGCAGAAGATGTGAAAAGAAATAAAGGGGTTTATGATTTTTGGGCTGGGACAAGGGGACGGATAAAGTTTCTTCTGAAGAAGGACAACATAATTATTGCTACTATGATGGAATTCCTCTTAGGGCATCGTAAATTTTTAACGATTTCTCTTTATTTGTCATGAATAAGGGAGCCCCACCAGCCACGAGGTAAAAGAATAGCTTCCAAATCTGTTGTATAATCCATTTGTATCGTATTATTCAGAAACAACTTCTTTGGACTCAAGAATGTCATCAAATTTCCTCAAGGGGGTGAAAAAACACATGTCATTAAGGTAGGGAATCAACTTGGGCTGCTTTAAGATCAATGGCAGCATTATCAACCAACAAAAAAAAAAAAAACAAAGAGGAAGTTCGGCTAATCCAAGGTAATGAAATGAAGAGCAGTAAATGCAAAATCCCAATTAGAAATTTCTACAGAAGAGATCTGATCATCTTTACATTGTTGTCTTGTTTGCTTTGCCTTTCCCTCCTTCCTTTCCTACTTGTATTCTTTGCAAGGGCCCTTGTATTCTTTAAAGGGCAAAATGACGGACAATAAAAAATATCATCCAATCAGACTATTCGTACACTTTAAAGAATACATTGCAGAAAGAAGTTAAATTTCCAGGACTCAGACATTGCTTTTGCAGACTACGATATGTTATTACCTCTGTTATTCGCTCATTTTAAGTGATGAATAGATGGAGAAAGTGCAAGCATATTAAATGATGATACAGTTAATGCAGAGTATTGAGGGAGCATTTTATTAAACAGGATCTCTGCAGAAACATATTGATAGTGATTTTTCCTGGGGTGCATCCGCTAATTTTTTTGTTGGGGCTGCAGCCGGGTGTACAGCGCTGATATTAGTATTCCTACTTGACATTGCGCACACTCGCCTCGCTGCTGATATTCGAGGAACACAAGCCCCCCAATTTCGGGGCATCCACCACTTCCCGGCTACCATATACCTATAAGAACAGGATCATAGGGATTTACAGGGGTCTTCCTGCGTCTCTATAAAGACACTGAGTGAAGAATCAAGGCCTGAGTTGGCATTGTGGAGACGTTGGATGGTGGCTCAGGCGGTAACGACCTCCGCAGGGTTGATATCATATCCAGTAGACGCAGTTCGAAGAAGAATGATGATGCCGGCTGGCATGGACAAGGCCGTGTGCAACGGCACCCTTGACTGCTGAAAGAAGATATATCGGACGGAGGGGTTGCCTTTATTTTACCGCGGGGCAGGTTCCATTATGTTCAGGAGCTCAGGGGCAGCAGCTATTCTAATTCTAGTGTTGGATGACGAGGTCAAGAAATTTCTGAATATTTCTTTTGGCCAATGATTTGCTTCATGTCAACATCAGTGAGTCACTGTGGCCTTCAGAAATACGCCAGGGATCCAACGAATGGTTCATTGACCAGGTGGCTCTTGGGGCTGCAGGGATTTGTTCAATTGTTAATGATTAGGCGTTACGTGAGATGCCCATCCTGCTGTGTCTCATTCAATTCTATATTTCTGTTCACAGGAATCGTCCAAAAAGGAATTACGTGAGATAAAAGGAGCGGAGGTTGTGGAGGAGGGGCCAGCAAAGTCGGAACCTTGAAGATGCATTGCTTTTTGAAAAGGGGAATAGGGAGCAGCTTAAAGCAATGGGAACGATGGGAAGTATAGGGTGCGAAGGTGAAGGAAGTAAAGGGGCTTTTGGAGGGAAGAGAGTGCATCAATGAAATTAAAATAACGAGTTGAGAACCCAAGCATTAAGGAGCATTCATTGCCACTTTAGGTGCACAATGGTTGTTTATTGACGCAACTTGCAAACCAAACAAAAGAAAAAGAAGCATAGTGGAAGGAGGGTTGGGGCAGACGGGGGAAGAATCCTGGGGAGATTCTTATTACGTGAGGCGTGTCGAGATTCTAAAAGAGGGGGAGAGGGAATGGGATGGCATGCATGCCAGCCACGTTTGATATTTGTATATCTTCTATTTTCAAATTATGAGGAAAAAGGGAAAGTGAAGAGCGCACTCAGAATGCCATTGCTGGCTTGTGGCTGTGCGACTAGTGCTTGATGTCCTCACCTTCTCTTTCCCTTCCCGAATTATATTAACAATCGCCTCACTCTTTGCCGTTAATGACCACCTCTCCTCTCTCCTTCCTCTACCCTGTTTCGGAAAGCAACTCATTTCTTTTATAGCTATTATTCCAAGTTCCTGGCTTCTCTCCTGCACTCCTTTTCAAGTATTCATTACAGTCATTCCTTATAATCATGGCTTTCCTCGTACTTCATTTCATTTTTAACACCCTTAATTAACTATTTCATTAAGAATAAAAATTATAAATTTTGTCTAGGAACATCGACTCTAATAACTGGCCCTCCAGCTCTAGTTTTTGGGAGAAGTGATGCACCCGAAGGGATCATGGCAGCCGATTGAGCATGGGGAAAAGCGGGAGGTGCTATGATGATTCCAGCGTGCGGATTATGATATGTGTCGTATTTATGGGGAGAGAAAGAGAGGAGGATGGTAAGTGCGGAACAACACATTTTGAGTTTGTCATTAATTAATTGGGTGGGAGGAAGTGAGCTTTTTATATATGGTTTTGATTCTTGTTGATGGTGATGCTTACGCCAGCTCACGGGACTTAAGATCCCTACTTTATATACACACATGCCTTGGTGCACTTCCCTTCTATTTCCTCAATTGCCTCCTCTTTTGCTGCATATAGTTGGACACTGCCTTGCAACCAAATAAAAAATGAAAGGGACCATTCAACCACTGCCCCTCCTCTACAAGACTGGCAGATTTTACACAATCCTCACAATGTTTCTCTTCATCTTCGTTAAAACCAGATTAAGTACATGCCTACTTTTTATTTCACTAACCACTGATTATTGATTCAGCAAGACCAAGGAAACCCCACACGCTCTATATCTCCTTACATGATATTATATCCGATCCTTAATATAAAAACTTATTTATTTTTTATTTTGATCCTACATATGAAATTTCAATCTATTTTGTCTTTCTTATTTATTCATGTTTTTAAAAAAATAATTCTTGTAATAATAGTAGTTCTAACCAACAAACTTGATTAACAATAATATTTTAGTAAAGACAATACTTATTTATTATAAACAACTAATTAATGTAAATAGTTTTTCTAATCTACTCAAATTAGTTAAGTAGCTCTCGTATTAAAAACCGGAGGTAGTATATTCCTTTCTTTCCCGTGGTCATGATTTTTGGGTAAAACTATACATTTGATTTTTAATTTTAAAATATTAGTTTTGAATGATAACTTTTTACAATAATCCTGGTTGTTTTTTAAATTAATAGTTGAGAATGTTTTATATTCGTTCAATAACTCAATATCATCATTTTCTTGAGTTAATAGTTTCAGAATTAAAAGACTAAAAACTTTTTTTTTTAAAGTTAAAAGAGCAAATTAAAATCTTATATAAAATTAAAGAACTAAAAATATATTCTTAAGATTTTAATATGGCCAAACATAAAACATGCACTCCGTCATATCATTGTCAAGAGAAAGTATTTGTCTGTTTGAAGATAAACAAAACACACCAATATATGGTGATCTGGCCAAAAAAAAGAAAGAGAGAGAGAACAAGAACAAAAGGGACTCGGCTTCCTTTAACGATCATGGTACTGAAGAGAAGTAACAGCGCCATGTGAGCACAAGATACCATATAAATAATTGTGAGAGAAAACCAACAAAACTAATCAGGAATTTAAGCATATTTGATTTGATATGAGAGAATAATATTACAGAAGCCATGGGATTAAATGGGTGTTGATGAAAGGGACAACACAGGGCATGGAACCAATAAAAGAGAGGAAAGGAGTCGTGTTTGCTCAGGACATTTGATTTTCAATAATTGAAGAAGCATTTGTCCGTATGCCTCCTCCCGCTTCATCATCTTCATCTTTTTTTCCGAAGAACCTTGTTTTTTTTTTTTCCAAAAGAAATAAAGCCCCCCCCCCTCTTTTTTCCCTCAAGGACTTAACCCCCATAAACAAAGGCCATGAAGATCTTCGATCCCTGGTCTCCTCGGACGGCCCCGACTGTCCCTATCCCGGGCAAACGGCGCCAACAACAGTTTGACACGGAAGATGAAAGAGCAATCCAAAAGGGTAACAAATTTCTCATATATCTACCTACGGATCCCGACACAGCAGATTGATATTATTGATATGCCGAGAGAGAGAGAGAGAAATGATAAGCTTTGCGATTTGGGAGAGGAAGAGTGAGGAAGCTACTGTGGGCTATACATCTGCCGCCCTGAGTGCTTAATAATTGGGAATGGGCCCCAAAATGACTGACGCGGAGACTGAGTTACTCTGACTGACTCGCCCAAACGCTGTAGAACCCAAGCACTGCACGCACTGGATACCCTTATACACGTGTTCCCTCCGTAACCAGCGAGTATCGTTCACGACAAAACCATACTCCCTCGTTTATTCGAATCCATTCTTTCCCCACACTGACTGCTCACTTCGCATCCACCACCCATCCCCGCCAGAGGAACCGAAACACCACAACAAACCCTTTTCCTAATTTCTCATCGTTTCCATACCAAACTGCTGAACACCTCCTGGATTCAGATTTCATACTCCAGCAGGATTATACGAATTAGCTACATCGACCTTTTTTTTTCCTTTTTTTTTTGGAATATTTAATTATGAAGTGATAAATATAATCAATGATGAATCATACCCAGAGAGCTCCGACTTGAGCTAGCTTGGGGACGAGGTGGCCGCTGAGATGGAGGGCGACGAGGGACTCCAGACCACCGATGCAGGAGCCGCCGATGAAAACGGCGGGGGCTCGATTGCGGAGGGAGTCAGTGTCGAGGTCGGAGGAGGCGGGGAGAGCGGCGATCTCGTGGTCGTCGAGTTCGATGACAGTGGGATGGACGCCGATGGTGGCGAGCAGCTTCTTCATGACGTGGCACATGCAGCAAGAGGATCGGCTGAAGATGATGACGGGGTGCTCGGAGATGAGGCGCTGGATTCGGGCCTCGGCGGATTCGTCCAAGTCGATGGATAAGGAGGCGGAAGAGGAAGAAGAGGAGTTGGTCATGGCGGTGGCGGCGGCGGCGGTGTTGGTGGAGGAGGGAGCGAGGTCGAGGTGGATAAGGTCGTCGGAGCAGCGGCGTAGCCCTTGCATCCCCGTACACTGGCGGTGGGGGGCGAGAGAGGGGTGATGTCAGCGTGGGGTGAAGGCAAGTGGGTGTTGGGGAGGCTGGAGAATTGGAGCTGCTTTGGAGGTGTTTTATAAATGAGAAGGGGGCGTGGTTGCTTACATCACAGACTACTGTTCCCCTCCTCCCCGCCTCACTCTCCTCAACGCGCGCTCGTCGCGTTCCGCCATCACCCCTTTGTCTTTTCTTTTTGTTTTTTAAAAAATTTCTCGCCAAATACATATGCACATATATAGTGTAATAATATTCATATGTTTTCTCATTATTATTTGTCAAATAAAAACAACCGACTCCTTTGCCAGGTCCGTCAATATATCAATATACTGATGATGTACTCCTCCGGTCCTAATTATAAGACCCAATTGACTTATTTGAGGAGATTAAGGAAGTAAGTTAAATTGGTTATTTATAATAAATAAGTGTTGTTATTCCTAAAATATCCTTGCTAATTAAGTATATTGGCTAAAACTATCATTATTAGAAGGATTATCTTAGAAAAAAATGCATAAATATAAGAGAGAAAATGGATTGGGTCTTATAATTAGGACCAAATAAAAAGTCAAACTGGGTCTTATAATAAGGACCGGAGGAGTATATATGTTGATGTATATCAAGCGTGTGCAATATTTCCTTTCTCCCATTCCTAATATAACAACGAGATATTTAATTTATATACGAAAATATATATTGGTTTTCCTAACATCTCCCTTTAATTTAATCACCTATATATAATTATAATCACTCCTTCATGAAAATCTTAGAGATAAGATGAATTGATATTTTATATTTGCTATTAAATTAAATTTTTACTTAACTTTTACATCAGAAATTAGAGTAGGTGATAGTGAGAATTTATTATTGATAAATTTGGTAATACGGCATTTAACTAAATAATCTAATTATTACCCATCTACTGTCCTTTTTCTTTAATATACTAGTATTATTGTGGAATCTCAATGAATATCTTATATGTAAATATTTTTAGAAAAATAAAAAAAATGAGGTCATGTGCATTAAAGAAATGGCGGGGAATTTTGGGGGGATACTGAGAGCTGAGAAGGAGAGGAGGCAACGTCAAAGATTCCCAACCCGAAGTGGGGGTTGCTTGCTTTTGTCAAGGATCAACGGAGAATTCATGATTACTTACGGGAGGTGATCTGAGAAGAGAGGGTCACGAACGTAATAGCCAAATGGGTAGTTCCGGAATAGACATTTTTATTCTGGAATCGGGGAGTGATCAGATCAGATCCCACGCTGACGCACAGCCTCCGTGCCGCCGTGGTGGTCGCAGGGGTGAATTATCAGTGACGTCGTCCCATTGACTTGGACGGGGAACGGTCAGATGGAAACCCCCCCCTGACGTAACCACACCAAAAGGTATGCCCCTGGCTGATTGGACCCCACTCCCCCCCACTGATACCCATCCCTGACATAATCATCGGACGCAGTTGTTACTTCCTCGTCATCCTGACGTTCCTCTCCCGCCACGTGGCCTCCGTCTTTTTCTTTCCCTCGCTCGGGGAGGCAATCAGTGACTGTGCCCTTCCCCGCTCCCGCCCAATCACACCCCCCCACGTGGCCCGTCAGCCTTCTGGGAGTGGGCTGTGGTCCCCCACCATCACGAATCTGAAAGTCACACAGCCAGGAGAGTCCTTCAAGCTGCACCGTTGATGGTGCTGAATAGGGTGTCTGCCATGTGGCCGCTGACGTGTACCCAAGTTGCATCACCCACCTCCTCTCCTCCGCTCACGGCTTCTAATCCCCGGCAGTTCCCGCCGCTGTTTTGATCCTCCATAGCAATTTCTCTTTCTGATTAATTATTGGAAGTCCCCTGTGCATTAAAGTATATATGGTCGGGTATTTAATTCCAATTATTCAAAATCAAAACGTGCTGGCTTGTTTGAGAATACGCACGCGTAGCGATCCACGATCAAATAAAAAAGAAGAAGCTGATTCATTAAGAACAGTAAGCAAGCATAACTTCATAACCTTCCCTTTTCGACATATATTTCGCCGTATTCTGGCGAATTGCTGAACCCACACAAAAGTGGTCATGTAATGGCATGAAATAATGGCAGTTACTTTCAGAGGATCGGATCGTCGTCCTTGACCTTCTGAGCACTGGCTAGTAGCTAATTCTTTATTGAGGTTTCTCTCTCAAGCATTATAAAAAGGGAGTCACAATATAGGCAGGTAAAAATGCCTTGAGAGATAGAAATAAACTCGGACTAATATCTGACATCTCTATCAACATTACTTCGAGGACAAGCAAGAGGAGGCGTGGTGCTATTAGGGAACTGAGAATGGTGCCTTTGGTTTTGTAATGGAAAGACTGATTGATGGAGATTTGATTGGAGGGGCGGATATTCCAAATCAAAAGGGCGGGGTGGATACGATGTGAGTGGTTGGGTTAAGTGCAAAATCAGTGGACATACAGTAAAGCAAGGCAGGGACCTGATGAATTCTCGGCTTTTTTTGGGGGGGTGTTTGGATGGACTTTTTATTGCGTGGAAATGGCACTCCTCGTCACCATGCAATTATGCACATATAAAGTCAAATCCAAAACACACACGTAAACGAAAAAGCAGGGCGTCGCACACTAACATCATCGTCAACCATGGGGCTTGTCACTTCGTCACTCGTCTCCACCGCCCAATGTTAATGCCCCAGAATATAATTATAGCGGAGGAATTGAATAAAATAGAAGCCTTTTATGGCAGGAGGGCACACAGAAAAAATCTCCACATCAAACACTCGCCCCTTGATTTATTACTCCCCTCCCTGACAATAATATATAGAAATACCACCCGTCTGTGGGAATTTCAAATTCTTTTTCATTACATGTGATCATGGGTTAGTTAGTTAATCAATGAACACGCTCGTATTAAAAAAAAAACTAATTAATTTATGCATATATATAGACACACATCTGTGAGAACGTGTGAGTAGTGGAACATACATACATGTATAAGGCACGTGGCAATTGCGTAAAACGTTAATGTGCCCCCCGGGGGGGGGTGCGCATATTAGAAGCCATGTGATAATCAAGCAAAAGATTTGTGGTTAGCAACGAAGCAGCCGCAAGTTCAAATTCGATCCGCGCAGGAATTGGAATATGTGCACTCAATAAGAGTGCCATATTGATGGATTTGGTTTTTAGTTTTATGTCATTTTTTGGCGGGTGGACTTGAAGCCAATACAAATGACAGGGAACAATATGAGAGTGTGACAAAACTGGGACGATGTGATTTTGGGGATTGAACATCAACCAAAGAGAGAGCTACAATTTGAGTAAACATAAACAACCAAAACAGTCTAATAACATAAAATTGATTAGCTTTTGAGAAATGTTTTTACAAATTCCGGGTAAGTACGTGCGAAAAATTATATTCCGATTTACAGGAAAATATTTTTTTAAAGTTTCCAAATACTATTTAAGACTCTCTTGCGAATGAATGGTTGCGTATTCCATCGTATTTATAATAAAAAAAAAACATTAATACACACTATTCTCTTATTAAAATAAACATAGAAAAATTAGTTACATCCACGCAGTTTCCATTTTAAATTTTAAAATGAAAATAAATTTCCCTTTAAATTTTTTCTCAAATAATAATTGTCGCTTTAGAAACTCAATAAATATTAATTGTTTTTATACAGAAACGACCATATAAGTCACTATATTCCAATAAATCTATTCTTAAATAAATAAGAATATTTTTATAAACTTCACTATGCTTTAAATCACTCGATATAATTTTTAAGAAGCCGTGTGCACATCGTTAAATGTTTTAAAACGCATATTATGAGGAGGGAGAAGTAGAGGTGGGAGTAGCAGGGAGCGAATCCAAATTCCCAGCCCGATAACGGAAGGCCGGAGATCGGGCGGGAAGCCACGTGTCAGGCTGCGGTGGCTTTAATAGGCCACTCGGATTCTTTTTTCTTCGTATTACTATTCACGATTCTTTTCGTGATATTATAATGATTATAAGAAAAAGCTTTATGAGCCGAGGAGTGGAGGGAGCGCAGGATTAGCGGAGGTGAGAGTGAGGGAGTGGAAAGATGAATGCTTTCTTAATGGGTTCACAAATCTTAAGGAACCACCACAGAACTTAAAAAGGGGGCGCGTGCTTACACGCTCGCCCTCTCTTTTGTTTCCGGTGTTTTTTTCCCTTGTGAAATACTATTTCTGATATAATTATAAGAATTAGTTGAGTAATTTTTAAAAATTAAAAAAAAAAAAGTTAAATTAGTTATTTATATAAATAGATGTTATCTTTTTAAAAATATTTTTGTTAATTAAGTATATTGATAAGAACGACTATTATTAGAAGGATTAACTTAAAAAATATATATAAATATGATAGACAAATAAATTAGAATATTATATTTAAAAATAAAATAAAAATAAAATAAAATTTTATATTAAATATCCGAAATAGTATATGTATAAAGAGTATAGATACAGAATATAAAATAATGTCGGCGGCGTTGCGTTTGATGGAGAAGCATATGTATACACCCATAATTGATGGAAGATGCATGGAACTTGGTTGACTGATTAAGTGTGACACGTGGGTGACATCATCTGACGTGACCTTATCATGTCATTGCTGAGCCCCCATCACTTCCTTGCCTCCCATTCATTGGCTGCATCCTCCTCAGTCCTAACAAGCTCAACTCATCCCTGTATGCGACTTCAGTTTCTAGAAGAAAAAAAAAAAAATCCGTAAAAAAAAAACCATCAAAATAAAAAATTAGATACAGAGATCTGTTTATAAAAATTATTGTTAAAATTTATATTATTATTGTTAAAAATTATACTAATATTATCATGAGTTTTAATCTATAATTTTTTTACGATTTTTTTAAAAAATAATCTCTTCGTCTGTTTTTTTTTCAGTAACAGTTTATTATGGTTCACACAGAGGGTTAATATTAATTTTATATTTAAGACTTATTTTAATATTTATTAATTTTTTTAAATTGATCACGTTAACATTTTACAATTAATAGAAATATTTTTTTAAAACACACTGTAAATTTGGAAAACAAAATGAATTGAAATTTTATAGTTAGGAGTGCTAATTAACTCTTATATTTAGAATATTAGATGTTGCATCGAATTATATTGTCTTCAATAA